AGATATTGCAAAAAAATGATTTCCATTCCTCCCTCTTCAATGGGTCCCTGTGCCCTTAGGAAGCATTTCCGGACCCATGTTCATATGAACTTTTTTACTTAGTTTTGATCATAGAATCGGCCTGTTCAGGGTTGGCAGCTAATTATGAGACACCCTGTAGGTATATGTAAATTTTTATCAAAAACTAATTTGTGTCGAAATTAGTAGAGAACCAGTTCTCTAATTTCCCAGGGTCTCTACTGTTAATTGCGGTTAAAGAAAATCTACTATTCAGATTTAACTTGTCATTTCTAATTACAATTATTGTGATTCTTAAATTTTTTGGTGAAAATTAAAATGAATCATATTTCGGTTAGAAAACATGCCATCTCAAATTAAGCTTTGAAGAAGAAAACATTCTAGCTCACATATTTAAGTAAAAACATGCTATCTCACTTTGACTAGAAAGAGCGACCGAAATTTTCGCCCCTTTGTGAGACCTCATAAATTTACTCCAAATGTGTGCCAAAAGATAGTCTTTGATGAGACTTGAATCATCTATAAGTTTAGATTGAGGCTGCATTTTGTTTTCAAGTTACGGTTTATTAAAGTTGTCATTTTTACATGGATTGTTATAGGGTTTTCAAAGTCGTTGATTTAAAATCAAAGGTTCGTTAATCTCTATGACTTCAGATTCTGGGAAAGGTCTTCAGAAACCTTTCCCAGAAAGGTTGACGAAATCATTGATTTAAAATCAAAGGTTCGTTAATCTCTATGACTACAGGTCATTTGGAAGTCAAAGAATTAATCTTGGATTGTTAGTTTATTATGTTATATGAGCAAGATATATCGCCAATTTGAAGGAAGTATGTAAGTCTCTAATTTCAATTCAGTAGTTGGTTGACCTGTATCACGTCAGATTCAAGCTCAATTGAGGGATTAATAACGAAACCATGAAAAAAAAATGTGTATTAATCACAAATTCCTAACCTATCTTCGAAATTCTTCATTTTTCTGAAGCTTTTCAGTCATTTCATGAAGACCGAAGGGTGATGAAGCAATTCTAATAGCAAATTCGTGCTCAGCGCGAAAAAGTACTTCGGAATACATATGCCACATGTGAAGTACAAGCGATTTTTTTTTAGCGGTGTAACCTCGATCCAACAATCCATGTAAAAATGACAACTTTAATCAACCGAAACTCGAAAACGAAATGTAGCCTCAAGCTAAAACTTATAGACGATTCAAGTCTCATCATAGACTATCTTTTGGCACACATTTGGAGTAAATTTACGAGGTCTCGCAAAGGGGCGAAAAATTAGGCTTTTTTTCGGTCGCTCTTTAAGTTGGCACATTGAATGATTGAAACTGTGCATTTATAATAAACTTATATAATATATTTTTCAAAAAGTAAGGAATATTTATGTTCAGGTACACTGTTTATTTTATTTTTTTTATTCGACATTTTTCAGTTAATTTTGTTGTTACTGTTATAAATGACAAAATTGTTAATTAAAAAAATAGAATAATATGCAGTATGCTGCAACACGTACATTACTCGATGTTTTTTGAAATAACAAATTGTAAAAAAATAGTGTATACCTTAATATATAAAAATGTTTATTATTACTAAAAATTATTCGGTTTTTTTCATACAAATTTGCTTTGATATAAAAATTAATAGCGCACTCTTACCTGATTTATAGTCACTACTCTTACTTTTATTAATAGAGTTAACATAATAACCAGAATATAAATATAATGTATAAAGTTGAATGATATGTATATTTCAATGCGACGGGCGCATATGACATGCACGTGCACATTTCCGTAGTTCCCCATGCACACATGTTTATCATCAGCAGATCATAAAGTACCGGTAATAAAAGTGTGGCATACCTGCATTTCATTTCCAAAAGTCTATGCAAGGACGTGGCTACCGTGTTTTTATTGAGGTGCAGTAAAAACGATTCAGACCCGGAGTTTGGGGCCTAGCCTGGTCCACTATATAATTATTTTTATTGGTCTGCCATTAGGCATACAAAATTATTTTCAGAATAAAATATGCATCCCAGATTTTGTGAAAAAGAAAAATAAGTGTATCAAGAGTAGCGACTATAAATCAGATAAGAGTACGCTATTAATTTTGATGTCAAAGCAAACTTGTATGAAAAAAATCAAATAATTTTTAGTAGTAACAAACATTTTTATATATTAAGGTATACATTATTTTTTTATAATTTGTTATTTAAAAAAATGCCGAGTAATGTACGTGTTGCAGCATACTGCATATTATTCTATTTTTTTAATTAACAATTTTGTCGTTTATAACAGTAACTTAACAAAGTTAATTGAAAAATGTTGAATAAAAAAATAAAATAAACAGCGTATCTGAACATAAATATTCCTTACTTTTTGGAAAAATGTATGTCGGAGACAAGGGGGTAGTTAGAGGGTGAAGTTCCTCTGAGGATTCCATCAAACTCTAAAAAAACTCAGGATAACGTGCACGGTTTATTAATGATTAATTAAACAAGGTTTAATGCACAATTATCCAAATATTACAGAACAAGGAACCAACCCTCGCAACATATAACAAAAGGCTAATGACTATTGACTAAGTTTGTCAGTTGCAAGCTAACTGATCCATTTTTTGTGTCGCTCACAGGTTCCCAGCTTTATTTCGTTCGTCGGGGGGGTACCCCCCAACGCGTTCCCAAACCTCGAACAGTCGATGGCTTGACCAATAAAAAAAGCAACTAAGAACACCATATAAGCCAATGTTAGAATCGGTGACGGTTTCAGTTATTTGCTGATACTGCTGATTTGCTGATGCTGCAGATTCTGCAAAGTTATATAAGTTTATTATAAATGCACGGTTTCAATCATTCAGTGTGCCAACTTAAATTTCTAGTCAAACTGAGATTACATGTTTTTACTTAAAGATTTGAGCTAGCATGTTTTCCAAGCTTAATTTGAGATAGCATGTTTTCCAACCGAAATCTGAGATAGCATGTTTTCGTACTAAAGCGTCGATATCATGATAATAAAGCTAGGAATCCATACCATTTTTGCATGCATATTTCAAAAAGTATCCATTGCTCAAATGTAATGAAGAAAAAAAAATTGAATATTTACTGATTTTAATCAATTATGTTCTATTTCATCTTAAAGTTTACATAAACAAGCACCATATCATGATAATGTGATATCTTGTAGAAGCATTAACTCGGGCGCTTTTGTAGGGTTATATAAAAGTTACTTGTGACCAAGGGTAACCTTTGTTGGTAGCGCAAACATGCCTAAATGAATGTTTCTACAAGATATTGCATTATTGCAATAATGCAAATGCTCCTTGTAGCACTCCTCTTTCTAGAAACCTTCAGTGATGTGTGTTAGAAAATAAGTAATGTTTTCTAATGATTTTGAGATATCTTGTTTATTTTTTTTTTATGTTTTATTGTACAACCTCTGATTTTGAAAAAAAAAATGTATAATGTACAATATTTATAGTTTTTTAAGTAATAGATATTAATGAATGAATTATATATAAATTGCATTATTCAACTGAGTATTTAATAGTAACAACTAAAGCTTTTGTAGACAACAAAAAAACACGTACACTTAACCAGAGTTTTCTAGCTAATAACATAGAATGGGCTTGGTAGATATATGTACATACTAACAAAATGATAATTTCCTCATCATTATATTAAGTCTTGAATCAAGAAATCTGCAAGAGCAGTAATTTGCCTAACTAAAATTACAAAAAAAAAAAATTAAATTTGTCGTTTATTTGATTCAGAATACTTTAAGGTTTTAGAATTTAAGGTTGTGCAAGAATTAAGCGTACATAATTACCATTTAAAATAATAATTTTGAAGTTACAAAAATTCAAAATTAGTAATTTTTTTATTTTCTCAGTATCAAGAAAACACTAACATATTCAAAAAATCTTATAACAACTTAGATCTGGAATATATTATTGGAATATAAAGATGAGGATATCTTGAAATATTATGAAATTAATAAATTTCTTTTCTAGGTGTTTCTCTTACGATCAAGCTGTCCAGAGGGCTACGGCCCACGTCGTAGCTGCCCCTTCGCCACCAGAAACAAAAGAGGAAAATATAAATGGCTACATCTATCACCCAGATCTATTAGACGATCCAGAACTCATAGCTGGAAAACATCGAACATTATTAACATTCACGTCTTACATGACATCGGTAATTGACTATGTTAAACCATCAGACTTGAAGAAAGAAATAAACGATAAATTTAGGGCCAAATTTCCACATATACAATTGACCTTAAGCAAATTGAGAAGGTAAGAAGTTTTAATATAGAAAAAAAATCTTTTCTTTGGAGATTAGAGTCAGTGAGAATTTTTTATTTCCTCTATTTTGATAATATTATTTAACCAGCGAAATCTTACAAATTTATGCAGTGCGTCTCAATTTAAAGGTGTACAGGCCATTATGATAAGTAGAAAACAAATGAAGATTAAATATTTTTTTATAAATGAAAACAGAAGCCGCTTATAGAATATTTTTTAATTTGGAGTTTTCTTTTGAACAGGACAGGACAAACGTATGAAAATTCTTCAAATAACATATTTTTGAAAATTCAGAAATAAGAAACTACCCTTTAATTTAGATAAATCATCGTTCACGCCCTTTGGCATATCCACAACTCGCTGCATGCTGTTAGAAATGAGCAATTTCCCCAAATTATTTTCGCAGTGTTTTCTGTACATTTGCTTAGTTTCTCCACTGTGTACATTTGAGTCTTATGTATTAAATATTTCATGTATAATAACCCCACTAGTAAAAATCACATAGATCAGACGACCTTGTAAGCCATGATAATATAGGCCCATTGCGATCTTTTCCTACAGTATTGAGTGTAACTGAATGTGGGTCATATTTATATGAGGTAGTCTTTGATCTTTAGAAGTTTTTTCTCAAATTCATTGAGGACTTCCCCACTACTGGAAAGGTTAGTGTAACCTCAAAAAACATGCTCTAATCGCGAGTGTATACCCAATTGGGAACTAGGACATGCATTGTTGTACAGGGTGATTCACAAATGGTGATCAAAAATGAAACCTCGTATTCTTTGGTGAATTTTAAGGGAAGTCTTTCCTATAAAGTTTTTATCTTCGTTAAAAAAATACAGGGTGTTAAACTTCAAAAAATATTTTTATTTGTTTAAATAATTTAAAAACGAGTTAGTGAAATACAGTGAAAATTAGTTATAACGACATTGCTTTATGCGACATATTGGATATAACGACAGAATTTGAAAGACCCGATTTAATCCTATAGAAATACCATATTGAAAACATCGTTTACTACGACACCATTTACAACGACATTTCGGATTTAGCGACGCGTTTTTATACAGGGCGTCTCATAATTAGCTGCCAACCCTGAACAGGCCGATTCTATGATCAAAACTAAGTAAAAAGTTCATATGAACATGGGTCCGGAAATGCTTCCTAAGGGCACAGGGACCCATTGAAGAGGGAGGAATGGAAATCATTTTTTTGCAATATCTCTCAATCGCGTTGTGATAAATGAATGAAATTTGGTATACACAGCTAAATTTTGATGAGCAATTTGATGGACTAATCCATTTATTTCCACAAGGTCCATTGGGGTGGGTACGGNCTTCTTCTGATCCATGTTCTGTTAAATTTTGATCTTTTATTGCATTCAAGAGATTGTCATCTGTGTCATCGTCTTCCTCATTTACTCCAATAATTTTAATTCTTGGATATTTCAAATTTGGTTTTCTAATATCATAATCCCCTGACATTTCCTCACATATTTTATTCTGAATTTTCTCTCGAGCTTCTTCATTCCCACATCTTATTACCACTTGACCCCGATGCGCTTCCCTCAATCCAGCAACTCCAGCACCTAATCTACTTGGATCAATCTTCTCCTTAATCTCTTTTTTTGTTTTATCACTACTTTGTACTTCCTTTGGTTTGACAATTAAAACTGGGTCTTTGCTATTAGAAGTATTTTTCCCATTTACTTTATTGCCTGTTACTGTCTGGGAGTATAATGGTTTTGTGTTTACATTACTTTTTATTTCTATCACTGCTGATTCTATAACATTACTCTGTTTTGTACTTTTTTCTTCTAATTTCTCAAATTTTTTTGTCAGCATCAGTAGTTCTTCAGTGAGAATTTCTATCCTATTTGTTTGCTTCTTCACCACTGTATTGAGCTTCTTGATTTCCTCTATTATTTCTTTTTTTGGTTCATCTTCCAAGCAATTTTTACAATAGAACTTCAAAATTCTTCCTTTTATTAACTTCATGCATTTAATTTCTGATGCAGTCAATCTTGAACACTCTGTACATATCTTTGCCTCACACTGATCACAGCTCCACAAATGCTCAACATTGAAGTCCTCCCCGCAAAGGCCACAGTCTGCCATTGTTATATTAATGTGATCATCACCCCAATATTTTTAGGTTTTTCAATATCTAAATTTAATTTTATACACTTGACACCCTCTATAAAAGTACTCAACCAAAGTAAGTCTTTTTGTGCTTTATAAATTTCTTCTTGTTCTTTTTGCTCACATCTCACAAAAACTCCTCTTGGAATGTTTTTGCCCTCAAGAATACTTTCTCAGCCACTAAAATGCACCATTGTAGCAAGTTTTTTCACCAAATACAATTACAATCTTCTAAAAAATTCTTAAAGCTAAATTTGTTGTGGTGTTATTCAATTGATAAAAAGGAACTTAAAAACAAATAACAACTGCAGAAAAACACTCTTTCAAACTCGAGCAACACCATACCACATGTCTCTCTATTTACTTTTTCTTCTACATTGGTAGAAGTGGCGTACTATTTTATTTAGAAGATCATGCCACCGATACCCTGTATCTCCGCCACTAAAACATGTAAATTTTAGGACAAACCCTCAGATTTTGGACAATAAATACATGTGCCCAATTTCAAATTATTTCACTTACTAGTTTTTAAATTCTTTAAAAAAATTAAAAATATTTTTTTAATGTTTAACACTCTGTATATTTTTAATGAAGCGTCCTAGATAAAAACTTTATAGGAAAGATTCTCCTTAAAATTCACCAAAGAATATGAGGTTTCATTTTTGGTCACCATTTGTAAATCACACACAATCCATAATATCGGAAATTTGAAAATAAAGACAAACACACCGTACTTGCTCTAAATACTTCTTAATTTACTATAAAATTAAACTAACAATAAAAGACAACATTGCACTAGACAAATCTTATTTTGATTTCAATAAAACCTAGTACTTACGCATAAAAGTTGTGAAATTGCCAACCATATTACAAACACTTCACAAACCACTAAACTGAAAATTAAAATAAATCGAACAAAACAAGGCGGTGACCTATTCTACCAATTTCGTTATACATAATTAATACAGTGGCTATATGCAAGACAGTGGCGACAATAGCGACTAAACCCCGCCCATCCACCATGTTGCATCCAATGTCAAATTGAAAGTAACTTTTATAAAAAATAAATTAAGTACAAAAGTATTTTTCTTTTAAATTTTACGCACAGTTTTAGACAAATAACTCCCTTGGAAAGTGATTTTAAATAATGAATGAATATAGAATCTACTTGCGCAATAGGGAAGGATAAATATATAATAATAACTATTGGTTTATATTTTCTAGTCAAGTAAATTTAAGCATACCTACATTACACAATGAAATTTATTGGGTTTACATTAGAAAAATGAATACTTAATACTAGTGATAGTATTTGTTACAATAAATGTCCAGCAACACTTTTACTTGCAAGCTTTTTGCATGCTTTTTGGAATTTTTTGGAAGCTATTTTTAATCGGAACATAATAAATCTTTTAACAATTTTATTTTTGATCTGATAACAATTTGGTAGATCTAAATTTAAACCAGACATTTCTTTTAAGAAAAACTCTTTTAAATTTGTTTTGTCAAGATTCAACCGCAAAAAATGTTGTAAAAATAGGTACCTTCCATCTGCAAGAAGAAACAAAATACCGCTTCATTGCAAAAAAGACTGAATGTTCTCTAAATCTCTTAATTATGTACGCTAAATTTTGAACATGTTTTATAGATCGGCGTTTTAGAACCAACAGCATGCAGACAGTTTGTACAAGTTTTTGACGTTTTAACGATACTTTGGGCAATATATCGGCACACATTATAAAGATAATTTAATTCACTAAAACTAAGATTAAATTTTAGTTCTTCTATGTTAGCAGGAACCTTAACTTCCTTATAAGTAGGACTTATATTTTTTTTAATATGGTGTCCAAAACGCCTGAATGAAATTCACGGTCTTCGTCTTCATGAAGCTTCTGCAGACATTACAACTATCCTTTAGCACAGAATACCCAATAGTTTCACTAGTAATCACCAAAATTAAAATAAAACAATACAAATATTGAATAACACCATAAGAACGCTCCTGACACCATGATATTTCAGATGAATTTGACAATGGATGCAACATGGCAGCTAAAATCACGTGAACCAATTAAAAATGATACACTCTATTGTCGCCACTGTCTTGTATAGTCACTGTAATAATTAACATTGGCCATTTGTTTTTTTTTTCTGCCTAGTGTCCTGCTGTCATATATCATTTGGATTGATGTAAGTTCATTTACACTGAAACTAAAAACAGCTTTAAAAAAATTGTACCAAATACTTTTTGTTAAAAACTTGAAATGATAAAAAAATATTTCAAATCTGTCAAATTAGTAAGTATTTCTATTTAATTTTTATTATATACGTTTTACAAAACAGCAAAAATAATAATTTGTTTAAAACATAAATTAGTTTTGCTTACGTTTAATAAGATTTGCTAATCCACACACCATAGTTGGTTAATATTTAATAAATCATGCAAAATATATATGTTTTTTTTAAAAACACTCGTGAATTTAATGCATTGACAAAAAATATGGTGACAAATAACATTGTCACAAAATCATGCAAGGAAAAATTGTTTTCCATCGCAGTATTGCTCTCTGCAACTCAGAGGATGTTTTATAACTCTACCGACACAGAGCAGGCACGTGTAGAGGATCTTAAAATAAACCGATTTGTTATGTAACGTTTTTTTCTGGGATGTACCTTTGAAGAGATATTGGCCTCTGAAGGTGAGTGTTAAATTTTGAAAAACAATAATATTTCAGCAATGCCTTAACAAATAACAACCAAATTTGGTACGTGGTTTGCGTTTATTGTTAACTTTAATTATTGGTAAAAAGATGAATTTGTTGGAAGCCCAATAAGGGCCGGACTAGGGATAGGGCGCCCTTAAAATGATATTGATTTTTTTATCAGTATGCCAATTATTAAATAGTTTAAAGGATTTTGTGAAACAGCGTCATTATTAATTGAATCGGACAAAAAGTAAAGTATGCAGTTTTACGACTAGTAGGCTATAATTTCATGTTACAGGGGTAATTTGATAGGTGTAGAATGTGTTATTAAATTTCTAACAAAAAAGATTGGTAACACAATTTTGCAAAATTGTCACTTAAAAAAAAAATAGGAACAAGGATAGAATTTGCATGATTCAGAATGTTAAAATTTCGAAATATGTACGTTTTTAGGGTTTATTTAATAGAAAATGCTTTACGTGAATTCAGTTTTTTTTTACTTATATTAATGGTCTATTATACACCTATAATAAATCTGGACACACTGTACAGAATGCATCTAATTTCAGTATAAAACGAGAAATGAAGAAGATAGCCAAGCACGAATGTAATATTGACCTACTCACTGTAGCTCAGGCCTATGTATATTTTGAAAAGCTCATATTAAGGGGACTGATTAATAAACAGAATCGCAAACTTTGTGCTGGAGCAAGCTTAATACTTTCTGCAAAACTCAACGACGTCAAGGGGGATACCTTAAAACTGCTTATTGAGAAAACTGAAGCCACTTTTAGATTGAACCGTAAGGAACTTATGGCATCTGAATTTGCCGTTTTGGTAGCGTTGGAGTTTGGACTACACATACCCACATGGGAAGTATATCCTCATTATCAGCGTTTATTGTACGATTCTTGACCACGGTTTTCTTATGTTTGCCTCACATTTTCCAAGTACTTTCCTTTTAATAATCTTGCCATTTAAAGTACAAATTTAATGGTAAATAGGTAATGGTTGTTTTAGATGCACATTTCATAAATTGCACGTTGTTTTTCATATTATTTTTTATTTTTTTGTTACTTTCTTGGATGTATATTTAAATCTAGTAATAATATGTTCTATTCTAGATAACTTAGATTGTAATTAGCCACCTTATTAACGAAAAAAATTACATTCAGAAAACCGCGAAAGTTTGGATGTTAGAGAATTTTCAGTTTAAATTGTAATGTTTTTGTATACATTGTAAAGTTTATCAATTTAAATAAAATAATTATCTACAAGTTATTTGAAAATGTATCCGCATGTGTATTATTAAATAAAAGGATAGCAGTAACATTATTTTCAGAATAGACAGAAAAATTCTGAAAATTTTATTCACCTCCCTCCACTTGAGGGAAAAAAGAAAAAAGGATTTGGATCAATAATAATAATGGTGGCTGGTGAACATTAAAAATAGTAATAGATTGTCGTATTTTGTTAGTGAAGCATGAGACCCCTGCTATTTTTTCATTAATAGTTTCTAGGCCCACATAAAAAACTTTCGTGATGAAAAATTTAAAACGAAATTATGAAATACAGAGTTAAAATATGACTGCTGACCCTAAGATTTTCAAAAGAGTTACACCTATAGGGGCAAAAAAAAAATTAATCAACTATTCAACGCAGACAGGTGTCTATTTTTCACAATATTAAGATTTCTTCATAATCACACCTATTTAGACTTTAATTTGATACTAACATTCCATTTTTCAAACATAATACTGCAACTTTATGAAAAATGAAATATTTGTGAACAATAACAAACCTGTTTATATCTACCAGTTGATTTTGACAAAAATATCATTTTCGAGATCTCAAGGTTGATCATTTATTGATTTGATTTGATTGATTGATTGATCAGGTATTTTAATTTTTTATTTAGCAAAACTTGTTCGAAATCTATCATAAAAATTTTCTTTCTGGGCCTAGAAATCAGCCCCTAAAAAATAATACGAATCCCAGTCTTCATTATCAAAATACACTTTAATTTTTATTAGCCGCCATTAACAGAGAAATGTCTATTAAAAATATACCTATAGGATTATGGATAATTTTATTATTTCTTGGGATAGTATCTTTTAATAAAAATATCCCGTGCTTTAGATAATTTTGCTAAAAAAGAATTAATTCTATTTTAAGGGCATCGTAAAGCTAACTGCATTTTTTTATAATTATGGTGTGGTGTGTTCTAAATATTTTAGATTTTACTCTCAAATAATGTGTAATAAAAGGGAAATTAACTTTATTTAGATTTAAAATAAAATTTGAAGGACAAAAGTTAATTTAATTTACCTGCAGTAAGCTGCAGATACTGTTTGGTGGTACCTATTATATCCTTGCCTTTATGAAGTTGATTAAGTTTCTGTTAATGTTTAAATGTTTGGTGTTATAAATATGTGCTAACATAATAATCGTAATATGTGTAAGTATGTAATCAATTTTTTCTAAATTCGTATAACAGACACTAGCAACTTTTGTGTAGGTACGAGGCATATACGCAAAGTAAGAGTACTTAATTTTGTAAAAATTGAAACGGCAGTATATTTATGAAAAATTTGCATATTTAGGTACATCAAACGCTATTTTTCGACATAGTCGCTTTCAACCCCAATGCACTTTGTGAACTTTCTAATACCTTCGTAGAAAAATCTCTCGACACCTCTCGGGCCCATTGTTTTACGGCACTGTAGACCTTATTGTCGATAGAAAACCTTTTTCCACCCCTTCAAAGAAGATAAAAGATGAAAATCAGAAGGTGCCAAACCAGGACTGTGAGTGGAGTGGTTGATGTTCTAAACAAATGAATCCAAGAGTTGGCTGTGTAGGTACGTGCATTATCATACAACAAGCACAATCCCTTCGTTAACATTCCCCTTCTTTTGTTCTGTATCACCATCTGTACTATTTTTAGAGTTTCACAGTACCGCGCAGCATTAATTGTTTCCCACTAAGGCAAAAAATCAGTAAAAAGAATCCCTTTACGGTCCCAAAATACAGTTGCCATGATCGGGCCGTAACAATGGTTTTGAATTTTTTCGCTGATTGTAAAGACGGATATCGCCACTGCATTGCTTGTCTTTTCCTCTCAGAGCTGTAGATAGCCACCCACGTTTCATTACCAGTCACAATACAGTCGAGGAATTGTTCACCTTCCATTTCGAAGCGCTAGAGAAATTCCCGTGAAGGTGCAATTCTGTTGGCTTTGTGTTGATCCGTAAGTTATTTTGCTACCAACCTCGCAGACAATTTTCGATAACCAAGTGTTTCAGTAATGATTTCATGCAGAAGAGATCTTAAAATTTGTGGAAACACTGTTTTCGTCTCGTCCAAAGACAATGGACTATCACCATGAAGCATTTCTGCAATCTTGTCACGATTGAGGGGCGCCCACTCTTTTGTTCAACATGAACATTCGTTCTGTCTGCTTTATACTCACACCAGCCCCATAAACAGTTTTGATTTTGTTAAAAATCTGGGGTCACGCCTTTCTCTTTGCAAGAAGAAACCAGAATACATTCCTCACCTCAGGTCAGGATTCAGAATAACAGTACCCATTTCAACACACCACTACAACAACAGTTCTCAACTGAGAACAATGAGCGTGCATTCTACTCTCAACACCTTAGCCTTGAATGCAGTGTTGCCAATTTTGTCGAAAAAAAAACGACAGCATCAGACCCTTACTTTGTGGATATGCCTCATATATGTTATGTTAATAAAATGTATGTATTATTTCACTATTCCGTATAAGTATCTTAAAGAATATCCTAAATGTTATATTCGAATAACATTTAATGTATAAACATTTATTATTATTCCATATATTGTCATTTGTCATCGAACCATAAATATATAGTAACAATTAATCTAAATTTCTTATATTGTTGAAGACTGTTCTAAAATTTGTACAGTTGAACAAATTTTTGAAAGACATTGGAGGTGCTACTATTGGTGATATTAATGCAACATTTTTTTTTCGTTTCTAGTGTAACTAAAAAGTTTGTGATATTCGATTTAAGAAAGTGTAATTTGCGACTAAGGTAGTAACTTTCAAGAATATTTTTAAAACAGGCGCTATAGTTTTTAAGAAAACGAGCTAAAGAGATGGTAACAGGTAGATGTGTGATAAATAAAATATTTTTTCTATATGTATGTTCATTAGTACTTTCTCCTTAAAAATATGTATACAGTAAAATAATCTAGGAATAGACGATTTGAATTTACATAAACATTTAGCTGTTACTACATACTGCGTGACCTAAACAATAGGTCATTTATTTAGCCCATTAATGTTGGAGACATCATATTGAATATTACTGAAATAGGCAAGAAATTCATTAATTTCATAGCAACCACTTCTACCATTTATGATATAACCTTATTTTTCCGAATTCAAATACTCTATATTTTTTTGTTCATATTTTAAACATTTCTGTTCTGGTTTAGTTCAAATTGAGTTCAATTGAGCAAAATTTTAAATATATTAGAATTACACCAGTTTTCTTTGGTGTTTATTTGTTTAAAATAAAAATTTCTTCCATAATAGAAAAAAATTTACTTTCAATTTTTTAGTAATTGTAAAATGTAAAATTTTCAGTTTTCATAAAATCCGAAGCTTTTATGCAAACTAATAATTTTTCATCTTTCCAGATACTAGACGGTTAGAAAAATTTTTAAATTTGACAGGGTGAAATATTAGCTAACTAGCAAAGAAATGAAGTGTTCCATTTAAATTTAGAACATTATGACAATTTAATGAACCAAAACTAATAGAAAATGTATTTCTTTATATTATTTCTATGCAGGATGGTCCCGAGGTAATAGACCAAAATTCACGGGTAGATTCCTGAAGCAAAAATATTGCGATTTAGCCGAACATACCTTAGTCCAAAAGTTGATAGTTAAAGAGATACAGGGTGTTAAATGTAAAATATTATTTTAGTTTATTTCCATTTATTTCTTAATAAATGCAAATATCTACACGAAATTTTGGAGTTTGGGTTTCTTTGAGTAAAGGAATTGAAATTTGTTCAAATTCTGGTTATAGTTCATAGAAGGCGCTAGCTGCCGTAGATTGAATGTGTTGAAAATGACATAACTTTTTTTACTTTAAGGGGGTCCTCTAGTTTCTCGATTGTTTTTTTACGGCTTTTTCAAAAATTTTTTACGGGCAAACCATTGAAATAATAAATCTCATTGTTTTTACATTATCTTTATTAACATTTAAATGAGCTTTACAAATTTTTTGAAGACAAAATATATAATAGAATGAAAGTTATAGTGGCCGACAGGAAAACATCAAGTGAAGGAGGTGCTTGACGGTGACCTAGATTGCGGCTGTTTTGCTTATCTGAAATCAAAAAACCAAACGGCATTTTAATCTTCATATTTAAGACTAGCGATTGAACTAGAATGGATTCTAAATTACAAAAATTAATTTTCTTATACACTTTTGAAAATTAAATTCTATTTTTTACTCATTTTTTCTTAAGTTTCTCGCTCGTAGAAAAAAAACTATCGAAGCAATCATGATAATCCTAGTTCAATCGCTGGCTTATAACATATTAAAGATGTTTTATAAATTTGAACAAGATCGGTGCAGTAGTTTCTGAAATATCGTGGTCACCGTTTTAAAAAATAGTGTTTCGAGAAAAACGCGTTTCAAAGTTCGCGCATGCGATTTATAATAAAAATTTCATCTCACCGTCAATCTGCTATGCCTGGACAATACAGTAAGCCTTCTTCTTCTTCTTGGAAGTCACGCAGAGCTGCTCCGTCTTCCCTTTTCACAATTCACAAAAGGTTCAGGTAGCAGTTAGATTTAGGGATATCAATATAATGGTCAGCGCCGCTTGGCTTTGCGGAGCAGCGTTGTGCACGCTCCGTATACCTGCTCCATTCCAGGGCCGTAACTTGTTAACCACTTCGAATATCGAAAAATCCTTTAGCATACATTTTCTACACATGTTGTAAATGTGATTTATGAAAAAAAAAAATTCGATTTTTTCGACCCGAGAAACTAGAGGACCCCCTTAAGTTATTAAATTCTTATTTTCCAACTTTTTTTACATAAAAAAGGCAAACTTTATGAAAGTAGCTGTCTCACACCGCTTCCGAGATATTTGGCTTTGCAACTTCCAATGCTAATAGTTGAAATAATAAAAATAATTTAGAAATGTCAAAAACGAGGGTTTATTTAGAATTAAAAATTGTAATGAACAGTAAAATAGTAAACATTAGTAAAAAATATGCCTTTTTGAAAATAATTGTTCATCTCTAACTTCAATACATTTATCAACGCAGTTATTAAAAGATTGTCTTATTTTAAAGTATAAATCCTTAACACGAAATGGCTTTGCAGTATTTAAAACCTGCTAAATTTCTTCTCGGGTGTTTATATTTTCTCCATAAACAACTAATTTCATTAACTCCAAAAACTAAAATCTCGGCATTCTATCTCACATTTATGTATATAAGTATACAATTTAAATTGTAAGCTAAGACTAAAACTTATTTTTAATTAGGTACGAATAATACTTAATACAAATTAGCATACAAATAAGCAATAAGACAAGTGGAAAACGTCGACTATTTGATTTTCGTCCAAATCCTATTTAAGAAACTTTACCGCTAAATTAATAATACCTGTAGGTACTTAATTGTAATTTAATGCAACAGCATTGGAAGTTTCAAAGTCAAACATCTCAAAAATGGTGCGAGATGGCTACTTTCATAAAGTATACCTTTTTTGTGCAAAAAAAGTTAGAAAATAAGAATTTGATACCAAAGACGAGATACCTTAAAGTACAAAAAAGTTATGTCGTTTTTAGCACATTCAATCTACTGCAGCTGGCGCCCTCTATGAACTTTAACCAAAATGTGAACAGATTTCAATTCCTCTACCCGAAGAACTCCAAACCACAAAATTTTGTGAGGATATTTGCATTTGTTAAGGAATAAATTAAAAAAAAACTGAAATTATATTTTACATTTAACACCCTGTATCTCTTTAACTATCAACTTGTAGACTAAGGTAAGTTCGGCTAAATCTTAATATTCTTGGCCGTTACTTCGGGACCACCCTGTATATGTTTTCTATATTATTTCTTTATTTCTAGTTATTTATTTATTTAAATTAATCCATTTCTTGACTGTTTTACTCATGTCTAATATGTTGTCTCGTCACTAATAAAAGCAGTTATACAGATGATCCTATGGTTTGGAACTTGGAACACCCAGTAGGTACATCAATTTTAAAAGTATAAGTGGATAGAAAAATGTGTATAGATGGAATTAATACAAAAATTTTTAGTTAACCACTTCATTTCCTACATAAAAAAATATGTACATTTATTTAATCTAAAAAAATAGAATTATACGATATGTAGTACCTAGTATGTAATGTATCGTCACAGGTTTACAGTCTAAAGTGATGTATGATATTAAGTATTTCAGTCACTATAGTAATAGATAAAAAAATCTGTGGTGTTGTCTTAATCATTCACAAACGGTATGAAATATATTAAGAAATACTTGTATTATTATAATTTCAATGTTATTGTGTAAAAATTAAAGACATTTTCATACATTGTGTTTTCCTTGCCTTAATGAAAATAAACTTCCTATAACATATACTTTGAATACATTCAATATTTGCAGTTAATTTTTGGCATATGATATTGATGTTTATAAATTTTTAAAAAACTACCAATTTTTCCATTTATATTTTGCCAATGAAACTTTATTTTTAATCATATTTCATGTATTTTACTCCATCTTCTGCATAAAATAATAATGATGGGTTAAATTCTCAACCGTCTGAATTTTTTTTTGAAATGCTTTGGTTTCCAAACATTTTACGTGAAATTTTACATCAGTTATGAGCAATGTTTCACTTTTTAAATTTTTTACTAAAATATTTTTTTTAATGTATTTCATCGCAAATTAATATAAAAAAATTGCTATAAACATATGTCAGGAAATTTTCGTACAGGGTGTTAAAAATTAATAGAAGTATATATATACATGGTTTATTTTGTAGCAAAAAAAAATAGAATCCAATTAAATAATAGGTTCTTTATTTCACTCCTATGGATATAAAAAACCTGGCTACCTATATTATTGTTATATCAATTGGTTTAGTGTTGACTCGGTAATTCTTAATTATAATGGTAAAATACAAAATAAAAGTACACAATCATTCACACATCACATAAATAAAAGTATTACATTGGGTCATTAAAATTATGACTCAAAAATTCCGGTATACTGCAGAAAGCTGCCTCAACTAAAAAAAAAACTTTTTCAGTTTGTACTTGAAAGCAGTGTTGCCACAGTGAAAAATGTGTGCAAGATATATACCGGGTGTCCTATTTTAATTGATACACGTAAATATCTCCTTAGAGAAGCCACCAATCGAAAAATGGCCTAAAGTAAAAGTTGTTCAGTCCAGATGCATACCTAGAATTTGACCTCGACCTCACCTTGAAGGTAAACTGCGGAATTTTAAATGGTACCCCCTACTTTTAACCTTGGAAATGGATTCAGCAGAAAATTTTACATCCGGTGTTATCACACCTTTGACCTTGAGGTCAAGGTCAAGATCACAACTGGTTTAAATAATTCGTCACCCCTGAAGCAGCCTCGGAATAAATTGTTGACCTCCAGAATCGATGGGATTTATATCAAGGTACTCAATCACGACCTTCGATTTGTCCTTGACCTCCACTTTGTCAAGGTCTCTCTACAAATGTTGCGAAAGATGTTCGGGATTGAATTTGAAGGTACACTTTATTTTCTTTTCTGCCAGGCCGTGTATTACGTAGATCAGATCTTGGGAAAACGGTAAATTTCTATCCAAGTACGCTGCAAAGTAAGGGATCAAATAAAAAGTTCAGTTGAAGATCAGGTGAAGATTTAAATCCAGAATACTAACGTAATGACAACATAATTCAATGGCTCACAAATAGTAGTGTGATATTTTTATTTTTTCTCAATTTTTCTCTGTGTCAGTTATACTTTGTAACGTACTCAGATGTCTCTTTTTTCAATTCTCAAGCGAAGTTATATACCTTCGTTGAGTAACAAGATATGTTTATCATTCTCCTCTCACTCATTCCTAGCATTATTTTTTCCTACAATTGTTATAGTTGACCTTCAAATGACCTTGACAAAGTGGAGGTCAAGGACGAATTGAAGGTCGTGATTGAGTACCTTGATGTAAATCCCATCGATTCTGGAGGTCAACATCTTATTCCGAGACTGCTTCAAGGGTGACGAATCATTTAAACTCGTTGTAACCTTGACCTCAAAATCAAACTTATGATCACATCCGGATGTAAAATTTTCTGCTGAATCCATTTCCAAGGATAAAAAATAGGGGGTCCTATTTAAAATTCTGAATTTGAGGTGAGGTCAAGGTCAAATCCCAGTGAACTGAACAACTTTTACTGTAGACCATTTTTTGACTGGTGGCTTCTCTGATGAGATATTTACGTGTATCAATTAAAATGGGACACCCAGTATATTGTAGAATTTGGTTCCTATAATTCTAATTATTCTTGCGATGTGTAGCATATTAATGATTACTGCTGTATTGAATAATAATTGGATAGATTTTTCTTAATGTAGATACAACAAAACAATGTAGAATATAAACACAAGATGTTAAAAAATTTTTAATTTGACAGTCTATAGTTTAAACCTGTAATAATTCGAATACACTTCCTCTGAATTGCAAACACTCTTGCCCTTGTCATATGGGTTGAATGTTGAATGGCCCTAGTTTAAATGTGGCATATGACATGTTCGAGTGAAAATATGCATGGTATGCTAATCAGCATGAGGTTCTCAACTAAGTCGCGAGTCCAAAATAATTCCTAAGAATTTAAGTGTTGCTGAAAAAAATAATAGGACCTAAAATGGAACCTTGAGCCTCCACATGTTTAATATTTCTTAATTCAGATCAGCATGCATTATAGTGGACTTCCATCTATCCATAAAATAAGATTTAATTAAATTAATACTGTTCTAGTCAAAATTATAACATATGTTAATTTACTTAAAAGAATGGAATGATGACAAACACAGTCAAAGGCCTTAGGTCATAAAAACAAACTTCAATAGGTATAAAGAATATTTTCAAAACCCTTGTATCAATTATTTGGGTAAGTAGTCATTTTATTAATGGCTAATAATGTTGTTGTGTTGTTGAACAAAATTATTACAAAAGCCATGTTGGTCTGGGGTATAAAGCGAAATGTTTTCAAAATAGAAAACTATTTGAGGTTTTAAAATCGTCATTTTAGTTTGCCTTTTCACCTAGATAATCTAACATTTTACCATTTATATTGGAAATGGCGCATTCTAGCAACATATGCAACAAGTACGTCCTATAAATAGCCTATCAGTTTTTAATCAATTTTTAAATAGCTTTGAAAAAAATATATATTGAGAGCATCTTGCAAATGACGCGTTTCCAGACACATGTTTATAGAAACCTTTTTATTAACCCGTGTCGCAGAATTTGCCGTTAAATTTGGTCAAATATTTTAGTTGCACCCCGTATATCTATACACAGCACTGATACTACTCTCTTCTCTAATCTCTATCGAGTTTTCGATTTACATGTAATTTTGTACTTAGTGCGCACTGAATATATTTTCGTCCCGTCCTTTCAATTCAAATAATGAAGAGTAGAAATATTTGTTATATTGAAATTTAAACTTTTAGTGGATTACACAGACCAATAACAAAGTGTATTATTCCTTAAAAAAATAGCTGAAAACAAACGTTAAACAATATAGCTACTCACATTACTGACTTTTATATATTTTTATAAAAAATATATAGGTATTAACCAAAGTTGTATACCTTTTATGGTTCCAAGATCGATTAACAAACTTTCGAATTTAGCGCTTGTTTTAATCTCACCCCATTTTTATGACGAACTTCTCCCTCCATACCAATACAGTTGATCAAAAAAGCTGGTTCCAATATAAAAGTTCGACACGTGTTATAATTATTTTATAAAAAATAGGAGATGTATTTTTAACATATAAAATATATATCATAAAATGGTTCAAGTAAGTTTATAGTGTTTTTAATTGATAAATCTCCTGCAAAGTTTTCAAAAATTAATATTTATAAATATAAAAACTACCCTTATTTTTTCTGTCATTGCTTTGATTTAAAAGATGGCGAACAGATTTTTATGCAAATGGACCCCTATACCATTTCATATTAAAATATAATTTTTGTTTTTGTAATATTACAAATACTTTATATTCTAACCTTAACATTTTACAAATTACTATTAGAATTACTTTTTTTTTAGGATAATTTTTCTTTGTATTACATATATTTAAAATCGGATTTTTGAAGTTTGGAAAACTATTATGTATTGTTATAGGCTCCAGGTATAAGTATGGCTCATAAAGATCTTCCGCAAGCATTGATATTATTAAACGAAATGAATGTTAGTGCCCAACATGTAGCCTCTCTTGTTGACAACATGATTCAAAAGGTGCGAAAAGGAGAATTATCAACTGATCAAGGTTTAAGTTTTTTAGAAATGAAATATAATATGTTATTAAGCTATCTTATAAATGTTACTTATGTGGTGCTGCGGAAATGTTCTGGTGAAAGAATAGAGGATGATCCTTGTATAGACAGACTAATAGAAATTAGAACAGTATTGGAAAAAATAAAACCAATTGAACACAAACTGAAATACCAGATAGATAAATTAGTTAAAACGGCAGTGACTGGAACAAATGCTGATGATCCAACAACATTTAAAGCAAATCCAGAAAATTTAATTGGACAGATGGATGAGGCGTCCGACAGCAGTGAGGAGAGTGATGAAGAAAATGAGAAAGCAGAAAAGAAAAACTATGATATTTATGTGCCTCCTAAGTTATCTGCTGTACATTATACTGGTAAGATTAAGCTTATTTGATTGATATTAGTAATTAAGTTTGCATAGTACTTATGGCCATGGTTAGAAAGGACTAGAGGGAAAACTTTTTATTCCGCTCATATATGCGAAAGAATTTTCTCATTAATAATTCTTAGGGGGACAAATTAAACTTTACAAAAATGTGTGATTCTTACCTTTTCGGATATGTTTTTGCGTAATGTCTAACCAGCTTAATTAGCATGCCAATTTGAATTTTTTATTCTTAGCATACTTACCTTTTTCGCAGCACCCTGTGTATTAAAAAGTAGATATTTTTTTCTTTCCTTATAAATCAAGTACATTAAAAAATTGCTACCAACCTAAACAATTCTCTTGCAGGTGATGAAACGGTGCAAGAACGAATGAAACGTCTACAGGAAAGATCTAAGAAACTCGCATTGTCTTCTTCGATTATGCAAGATCTTCGTGAGGAATATCTTGATACACCTATAGAAATAACTCAGAGTAGTAGAGCTCAACAGATCTTGTCAAAGCATCAGCAGGAAATTCAGAAGTACGAGGAAGAATACATGACCCGACTTCCTGTCACTAAATCTGAGAAACACAGGCGGCGGCAATTAACTACACTGGGGTCATTAGGTGATGAAATCACAAATTTCGGCTCTTCTCAAGGTACAGGTGGTAAGCGAAAAAGAAAGATACCAACTAAATCAAAAGGCAAACATTTCAAAAAGAAAAGGTTTAATTGATTTTTTGATGATTTCCAATTACTTACTACATTGGCAAACTATTTATGTGCAAACATATTTTAAATACCCCAGATGTTATCATTTTCAAAGCTCATTTTAATATATAGGCACTTTTGTTAAAAATTCAATTAAATGTTTTTTTTAATTGAGAAAATTCAGGAAGTAGTAACAGATGTCATTTCCTATAAAGATATTTTAAAATGTTAAAAGATATATTGAAAGTCGAATTCATAACAGAAATTGACTCTTATAACTGCCATACAAGGTATTTTTATACGACCTAATTTATATGTCCACTTCATATAATATTCTGATATACAGGGTGTAACTGAGAGGGGGCATATTTATGCAGAGGCTTCCTTTGACCTGTAGAAAATGGGCGTATTCAGACAAGGTCAACCGCTAAATAAAAACTGCTAGCAGGGCTGTTAATCAGCCGTTTGCATAATATTAAATAGAGTTCTTAGCCTGAGGCGATCGAAAAAGAAATGTAACCTTATTTTGTCAATATGTCTAAAAAAATCTTAATAATTAATATCAACAGTAGGTATGTATGTAGCCAGAGTATTTTTTCTTAAACTTGGGGTTACAAAATTTATCTATTCTCTTTCGATATTCATGTAATAAAAGCATAATATTTTCATGTTGCCGCATCAATCTCTCCTCTGATTGACCAAAGTTTTGGATATCTTGGTTTTTTATATACAGAAATTTAAAATTTTTATCTACATTCATAAACATGTATATCTTTACTTACCATCTATCAAGTCTTGCTCTTCCACTTGACTATTTCCAGAATTGTTGGACAAATTCTAGTTTATTTTTTCAAATTCCGTCGTGAAAATTTAATGAATTTTTTTTAACCTTTTCCTAGTAATTTTCATACTCCGCCACTGGACAAGTTAGTGTAACCTCAAAACGCGCATACACAATAGGAAACTGAATTGTTGTCAAATTTTATATTTAAAGTAAATCTTATTAAAATGCAAATTTTTAAAAACATCAGAATGTTTTTTTTTAATGTTCAGCGCTTCGATCACAGTGATATCAAAAAAATATGGTGACTTTAAAATAACATGTCACGAAGTTGTACAAATGGAGTCAGTTTTACCAAATTATTTTTCATTGTCACTTCCCAAAATGTAGGTTGATTTAAAAACAACTGGCAACGTTCATAATTAGAGACCGCACTTCGTTCGCACATCTCAGGTCCGTACTTCAGCCGACGATCTCAATATTTAAATATTCATCCATTCTTCACAAAATAATAATAGTGCCGGTTAATCGACAAATGCACCATGTTTATTTACCCCGCACGTGTCAAGGTCATGGTAGTCAGTCGACGGGCGGGGGGAACGGATTTCATTCCTATTAGACGGGACCATTGCGTGCTAATCATACGTAAGGAAACGGTATATATGCATATTTTTAATTATGTTAGATGTTAGTTAAAGTGTAAAAATGTCGCGTCGGCTTCCCGCTCGCTCTACGGTCGAAAACTGGATAAAAGATTACCCCGATTTAGAATTCGACAGAGCAGAACTAAGGTGCAAAATTTGTGAATGCGTTATATCGTGGAATTATATAACACGAATTGCGGAACACATAAACTCAGAAAAACACAAAGCTCGCGAAAGTAACAGTATGACCACCAGTGAACGACAAAATTGATAGCTAATGTTAGAAAATATTTTTGAAAGCACCAGCCCGGATAAATTTGTTCAGAGAAACTCTTCCAGGCGTACCACTACTTCCAGAACCTGTTTTGACACGTTGGGGTACGTGGTTAGACGCAACATCTTATTATTACGTACACTTTGACGGCATAAAAAATGTTATACAGCAATTGAATTCAAGTGATGCTACTTCTATTTTATGTGCTCAAAGGATATTTAACGATCCCACACTTCGTGAAGATTTAGCATACATACATTTTAATTATTCACGAATATAGTCAGTTATACGCCGTTTTGAAGTAACTGTGGCATCATCAGAATATTCAGTAAATAACATAGTAAATAATGTTTTGGACTTGCGACAGTTTATTTCCCAGTTGTCAGGACATAGTGCTGAACGTGTGAAGAAAAAAATTGATACCGTTTTGCAGAACAATCCGGGATTTTTAACTGTATGTCGCATATGATCTTTTTGAAGGTAAAGAAGTAGATTTTTCTGAATCCACCCTAAATATGCCATCCGTTAAAAATTATATATACTTGAAATATGCCCCAGTAACATCTGTGGACGTTGAACGTACGTTTTCGAAACTTAAATGGATTTTTTGCGGTAAACGCCACAACCTAACGCAGTTGGTTAGCTGAACATTTACAGCAGTTGCTGGTTATTCGGTTTTACTTCAGCACCGCAAGTGAATAGGTGTAGAGCTCAGTGTAGAGTGTTTTGTAAACTAATAAACTTAATATGAATCATGGTGGATATTATAAATCGTCAGTACAAGCTAAGACTTTGATTTTTACTTTTTATATGGTGTTTGCACCTCAGTTTCTACAGAGTTTAACTTAGCGTCCTGAGTCCGCCCCTGATAATGACGTCATGTGCGAATGAAGTGCGGTCTCTATTCATAATGCACTAATACGCAAATTCCAGGTGCCCCTAATACAAGAACTAAAGTGTATTTTAAAAAATAAATAACTATTTGATAAAAAAAAAAAGAAATTCAAATTTTATTCAGGTGAATACATACCCCTAAAAAACTTACCCCCACTTAAAGTTACACCCTGTATTCAGTCTATTTCTACTATTTTAACAGAAATTTGTACCTATGTGGCCATTCCTCCAAACCCGTTAATTGTATCATAACACATGTCATGTACCATATTAAGGAAATGAAGTACAATATGATCAAACTTAAAAAGTTAAAAAATAATAAAATAGAGCTTGTTTTTGTGCACATTATAATGCCGGATAAATATAATATGCCATATATATGCAAATAAGAGATTGCTAAAAATAATACTAAATATATTTAGCAATGCACACACTTGAGGAATTTAGCATACAAAAATAATGTAATAAGGTGTAACAGATCGAGCTGCTTATGTTGGGTAAATTATTAGGACAGCTTGTTTCTTAAACATGTATACTCTAATTTATTAACACACCATATACATTTTATATGGTGGAAACGATTATTAAAAATACACAGAAGGTTTTTTAAAACAATAGCGAATTTTGCTTTTTTAAAATAAATCACAATTTGCATCACAAAAAAATTATATACTTCCTGAATTACACTTTTTTTAATTTAAAAATAGATTTAAATAATTATTGCTTGTGCATATTAAGAATATTTTTGCACATATATATATTTGTTATATGAACTTAAAGAGCTTGAAACCCCAGTTGCCTATGGTGACCTTATGTTTGTAAGAATTGATTTGTAAAAAAAATTCAAAATTGCTTAGATATACATAATTATACAGTTATGTAATAAATATTAGTAAGTTTTAATTTTTATTAAACATTTTGGCATGGTACTTTTGATGTTTATATTCTTTAGTTATTTTCCTTTTTTTTATATTAAAAACTATCATAATATAGACTGAAAATATTTTTACAAATGTTATAACTTGTTACTATTACTCTTCTCATAAATTGTTTTCCAAAATAAAGTTTTAGTTTTGTAAAATAATTTATTACCTAAAATATATTTTGAACATTAACAATCAATTCAACAGATTGTAAAATAGACTCGAGTAATGATTGAATATTTCTAAATAATTTATAAAATTTCGCAAAAAATAAAACAAGTTATTTTTTAATTTTTAAATTAATAGGTTAATTATTGTTTAAATTATATAAAAAGTTCCGTTAAGTTTTCTTTGCTTTCTCTTTTATGGATAGAGAATAGTGTAATTGATTGTTAGTGGTATATTTTCTGTCTCGTGTTATTATGTTATTAGTTATCCAATAAATTAATAATATTGTTGAGTGCCACTTTTTATGGTTACTTCTTTTAAGTTATACAGCTTGTTGCTTTGATATTCAGTGGCAGCTGGTAAAAATTAAGGTGGTCATATTTTGATAATGAAGATATGGGGTCCCAATATCTTTTTTAGATGATGATTTCTAGGCAGAACATATACAGAATGAAATTGAAAAAAAAAATTCAAAAGAAATTCTGATTAGGAATTAAATAAGAAATTGCACATATATTAGAAGAAAAAAACTCCCATTATCAACTGGTAAGATACACTCAGGCATTTTCTTATTTTTCAGAAAAATTTTATTTCTCTTAAAGTTACAGCTTGATATAATTTTAAACTTAAATAAGTATAACTATGAAGAGACAAAAAATCTTCACTCAAAAAAATGGTATGTGTAACATGCTTCATACAGGGGCGGTACTTGACCTTTTTTACTGGTTTTCTTAAACATTAAAAGCTGATTCATGTTAGAATGAAATTTGAAAAAACCGTTGGACAAATTCCGGAAAAAGTTCAAATAATTTCAACTTTTTTAAGAATTTTGTTGATTTACTACAGATCTCAAACAGCAGTACTTAGATGTCATTTCCTCAACATGAAAATAAATAATTATTTAAAGAACAACAATAAATGTTTAAAATTAGTTTAAACGAAAGTAACTTCTAGTTTGTAATATACATACATCATTTGATGCAATTTATGACAGAGATTATACAGAATAACATCAAAGAATACAATTTGGTAAAAGTTCTGTAGAATTTTTCTGTAATACTTCCTTATGCCCATAACAAAATTTTCTAACTTAATTTAAAATTGTATTTTTATTGTAATCGCTAAAAGTTTTTTCAAATTGTAATAGGAAATACATAGATCCGTGAAATATGCCAGGGTTGTCAGGTTTTTGGATTCATCATGTTCTCGTAGAACAAACTGAAAAGCTTCACAAAACTTAATACAGTCAATAGCTTTGGACAAAACATATATCTTTTTGCCACCTCTCAGTTATACTTTTGAATGTTTTTCAATAAGCAGAACCCATTGAGTCTAGGTATATGTTGACATGTAATTCACATTTGATTGATAAAAACATAAAAACACCGCAGAAATAAGACAACCCCCAAATCCAAAAACAAAGGCTGTTCGGAAGGTGGCTACACTTGAAAAAACGCGGGCAAACACCCATTATCCGTCAACATTGCCAGTGTTTGATGCCAGGGATCGAACCCGGACCAGAATAGGAAGTCTGGACGAGAAATGCTTGCCACCGCATGCTCGACCGACTACGCTACCGTGGTGATGAGTTTTACTATTTTCATGTATTTTTATCTTTTCACTTAAATGCATCAGATCCCTTACTTATGTTTTCCTACAGACTTTTAGTTCATGCGCAACACCAAATAACACACAGAAAACTAATCTAGTTTTGTAAATATGTCTTTATTAAATTATCTTTTTTATGATTTTCTTCTACTCTGTCCAGCTACTTCAATACTTAGTAATTCAGGGGACGATTGTTGATAATAATTTAGTTTCACTTAACTCAAATTTTGGTTTTATTTAAACTTACTACTCGTATCTAAATTGGATCTGTTTCGTGAGCTTTCGGCAGCACGGAAGGTGAACCCCACCGAGCTTCGACTTATTCCATCGCTCACGCCTACAAGTCAGGATATGAGCTGTCAGTATTTCATTGGTGCCGATTCAATAATTTCTGAAAGCCACGGATTACTGCTGTTTTATTAAAGTTTGAGTTTGAGTTAGACATTGATTGTAGAACTAACTACAGACCCTTCATAAATGATTACAAGCCACATAATCGCCAAGCATAGGCAACCCAACATTGCGCGGATGGTATTGTCAACTAAAAATCTCGAAATCTTAGCGTCACCAATATTAATCAATCGTTTACAATGAACAATGACAACCGCTGATTGGTTGAATAAAATCTCATGAAACTTTACAGCTGGTGAAACAGAATGTTGTGTTTTAATGTTATCTTGATCTTACCATTTTAATTTTCACCGAAATTTAATTACAAACATGTAGGAAATAAATAAAAATAACAATTTTATATTCATTACACTGCATTTTGATGAAAATATAAATTTAGTTGTCTGTTTCTGTAATATTTTTTGTTATAATTTTGGTGGTTCTGAAGCTCAGTGGCACTTATGGAAAAAAACACCCTTGCTTCATTGTCAAAGTGTAATAACTTTAATGTTTAGCAGTGGTCAATGCTGATATTGTTATCATTTTTTATGTAAGTGTAGTATTAAATTTCAATTTTATGGTAGACCTTTTATAAAATTTCTACTTAGGATATCCTGATTTATAACTCATATGGTTTTAATTATAGAATTTTAATGAACTAGATATAAAACAATGTATTACCTTCAGTGGCTATTGTTCGTTGGTGTAATTTAATTCTATAGAAATTTAGGTATGCTACTGAAATTAACAAAATCCAAGCTCAAAAAATCAATGATGTATTATTATAGTTTATAAGTTTTATGGCTTTAATTTGTTTTTTTTATTCATTTATTTGTAGATATACATTTTTTAATATACATTTTTTTCTAAAGGGGGTCTTTTTTCAATACAAATCCCTCACGTCTCCCAAGGTTCCATCTGTATAATATCCAGTACACGGATTATATGAAACATATTTGTAACTTTTGTACATCTGCAGCCTTTGTATGTGTTGGATATAATCATCGTCTAGAAACTTAGATGAGCCTTTTGCTTTTAAAAATCTATGGAAGAAATGAGGAGGTTCAGCTACAGAAAGCTAAAAACAAAATATGTATATGAGAAATCAATAAATATTTTTTAGATGTATCACTAAAACGTAATTTTTAAATAGGCCCGAATAAAAGTAAGAGTTTTCCTCGATTATAAGCTAATTCAGAAAATTTCTCTCTCAAAAAAAAAAAGGAAAAAGCATCAATTGAATTTTCAAAAAGGAATTTAATTTTAATATATGGTCTCACAAATATGTTATTAAAAATCCTGAAACACCCTGTACATATAGTGATTATTACATAGCGTTACCCTTTTCAGTAAATATGGGTAGGGAGGCAGAAAACTATGTTGCATTGTTGTTACATAGTCTGCTCCAGAAGCAGACGAACACCCGATTTTTTTCTCATCGTCACTCGCCTGACTAAAAACGGTTCGGATTATTGTTAACTCAAGATTTTAATATGAATAACCATACTCAATGTCTGAATACAAATTAATAACGGCTTTGTTTGGATTAATGTCAAACTCTCTTCTTTTTGTAAATACTTGTGCAAGCATGTCATGGGTAGTACTTGTATAATTTACAGGATTTTCGTCTTTTCCAATTTTATTATAATGAGAAAAATGTAAATCAAATGCAGTGGGGCAATAGGGATTGACATCTATTGGTAAAGATTCACTATATTTTTCCCAATCTGATACTTTGACAATTGGGTTATAAACATTTTTACAATATAAGTCCAGCTTTGTACAATTTCCCCATGTTGTACGATCCGACGGTTCTGACTAGAATTTTAAAATTTTTGGGTTATACATATTAATTATTAATAGATATTTAAATTTTACTTTACAGAAATCCATTTAAAAATTTCAGATTGCAAAAATAGCTATAAATAATTGACAGTGACAAAGACTTTGCTGAAATGAAAGCTTTGTCAGAATTGGAGGAAAAAGTATACAGGGTAGTTCTAAATTATTGTGTTCCAATATTTTCAAGGCAGATAGTATATCAAAACCCTCTTTGTTATAAAAAAGGGATAGTAAAATTTTTTGAGATTTGCATCTTAAAAATCCTTTGAGATAAAAAATTTTCTCATTTCTCATGTAAAATTTGAGGATGTCCCTGGTAATAAAGAAGAGGAAGATCGTTCACTAAAGCAAGCAAATTCACCATGGATTTAATCAAACAGTAGTTTCTATATTATTGGCCATTGTTAGACAATGATAAGAAGAGAGAATGTAAAGAATTTCATTAATGAATGTGTACCGTGCCAATCAGCAAAATATGAAAGAAATACATTAAAAATTAAATACCAACTAACTCCTGCACCTTTAAAATTATTACAAAAATTACACTGACATTTATTTTATGGACAACTGTAAATTTCTAACATTAATTGATCCTTTCCCAAAATTAGGCCAAACCATCAAAATTGAATCAAACACATTAGACATAATTCCCCAAATTTGCTAATTGTTTTAACTTTCCCAAAGAAATAGTTTGTGATAATGAACAAGCTTTTAATTTTAAACTTAAAAAAAAAATCTGTTAAGTTCATTATAAAAATTTAAATTTAGTAACGCCCATATATTCAACTTTAAATTCTCCTGTCGACCGTTTTCACTTTATACTCACATAATCTTACTGTACACTATCCATTGAAAAACCGCAAGAAAAATATGTAGATTATAAGATACTGCTACATGTGTATTAGGTTACAACAATACGATTCATTCCTACAAAGAAAATGCCATTAGAAAGTTTATATGGTACTAATATCTCCTTTTGATATTTCGGATGAAAAATTATTAATAATTGCTATGAACATAAAAATTATATAAATATATACAATAAACAATCAAATTCATTTAAAAATAAAACAATAATGAGCAAATGAAAGACGTGAAGAACCTGTAGATTTTCAAATAGAAACAAATTTTCAAAAAGACGTCATTTTCCACCAATCAAGTGGTGTAACGTCACGGATGCTCTACAAAGGACATAGTCTGTTTTAAATATTTTACAAATCAAAAATTATTTATCGCCCTTAATATTAACTCTACCGACCTGATTTATTCACTGTATATTTATTGGGTCAAATAATTAAAGAAAATGTAAAAATAAGGTATAAATTAAATATTGCGAATGAACCCAAGAATTTATTTGAAACTTCAAAATCATTTCAAATTTATCCATTTAATTTTATTGTACCTACATCAAAGGTTTTTGTTATCTTATTTAAGTTTATACAAGAAAATTATGTTAAAAAAGTATTTTCAATATACACTGTGTCCAAGATAAGGATGGAATAGCATTAGAATCTGGCTCAAATTAGAAAAAAGTTGTGTTTTTTTTATAGCTAACAAAATGCCGTTTAGAAAGTTTTAAAATTCCTGGTAGTTCCGGAGATATCTGGAAAAACCCGAAATTTTGCAAAATCATTTTATTTTTTTTTCTGGCTTTATTTGAAAACGAATTTTAAAATAAATTGCACATTTGCATGCATTTTTTTCTCTTTATCCAATGGCGTCAACATTTTTGCAATCCGACGTTTCGTCTTCGAGGGGCCATCATCAGATTAATTTTTTTAAATACGTCGCTGCTATTTTTATGACAAAATCTAGTCATTTTTAATTCTGAATTAGATGATATTACTATTGTAATCGCTTAAAAAGGTTTTTAGCTTGTTTTAGCTAGCATTTAAAATTTTTCCGGAGTGCGGCTTTGAATGCTTTAAAAATATTTATTGGAGGAAGTCATAACAGTATAAAAGTCAATACAGCACAAAATATCCAACAATTTTTTTTTAATACTATTAGCAATACTAATTAGAAATAATAAAACATTTCATAAAATCGTATTATTTTTTTTATTAGGTACAACTATTTAAAATTATTGATTAAAAAAAATTGTTGGGTATTTTGTGCTGTTATGACTTCCTCCAATAGATATTTTGAAAGCTATATGTTTAGAGATGGTAACTCGACAATTTCAGTTCGGATATTCTTCCTATACTAAAAGATATTCCTGTAGCAGCTACACAACACGGTTATTTAATTCGCGGAGAAACGGTTTGACGTAGCCGCTAGACATGACGATCCCCTCAGGCAAGCCGTTGACGACGTGACCGACAAACACAAAAGACCTAGACACCAACTTTTTGACCCTGGGTGACCACCCCAACGCGACACACACACACACATACACACCCCCCATACCCTCCTTCTTTTCCCCTCCCGCGCTGGGCTAAGGGCCACCTTAGCAAAGCGCGTCCCAGGCTGCATAGCCGCACTACCCTACCCAACCATACCACACATAAACATGACACTACCCCCGGGGTTTACACAGACGAGCCGGCGAAGCAAGAAGAGCGCCAGAAGAAAGGGCCCTAGCCGGTGGGGCCCAGCCAGGACAAAAGGAGGTCCCACAAAGCCGCACCGGCCGCATTTGCGGTCAGGGTAGACGACGGATGGGGCCCACCTACGAAGGCTGTCCAGGCCTACACGAGATGAGGCAGGATAAAGAGGGATAATCCCCCTCGATCCCAAATCATTGAGGCCAATTTCTAGCCATGGAATAATGGCGCGCGGTTATTTAATTGTATTTTATTTTCATTTGGAAAAATTGTATTAAAATAATAATACACATTAAACAGGGTACTCTTTGACTGGGAATATTTATATTACTAGGCATCCTGCCAATTTCTCACTTCTCGCACCCCCATGAGGGTTTAGGTTTAGGTTTAGAGTAAGTCATATATCTAGGGAGTAAGTTGCGCTGCTCCAAAAACTAAGTGATTAATTACCCCCTCTGTTCCTATATCATCACTGATTGTCTGAAGAAGAAGAAGAAGAAGAAGAATAGTTAATAGGTGTATGAAGGTTAAGTTATGTTATGTTGCTTCTATATGAAGGGGTGGGGATAATAAGAATTTTTTATATTTTGTTGAGAAAACGAAAAATAAACAATTTATGAAAAAGTGTACAGTGAAATTTTATCAGAGATAAGGTGGTACAAAATAGAGATAAGCTATGATTTTCAATTTAGAATTAGAATAGATTGTCTAAAGAATATACTGATTACCCCGGTATTCTCATTTTATAATGTAATTATTTACCGACAGCCATAAATTAAATAAATTAAAATGACAAAGAGTCAACTATCCTTTAGGTTACGACAAAATGCACCTCAACCTATGCGAAAAGACTCGCGTAAAGAGACACATCGCAAACCGGCGAAAACGCAGATTAGGTAAATTAAGGTTGGAGTTGATTCTATATTGATGATTGATATAATGGTTATTAAATATTTTGCAGCAAAATAGAAACAAACAACACTGCGTTATTGTTCCCTGCGGGCGAGACGGCTTTTAAAATTTTATTATCGGCCAGGTTTTGTGCTGCTATTTGGTCACACATATCAGACTGTGATGAAACCTTTAATTACTGGGAGCCGATGCATTACCTTGGTATGACAATAAAATTTATTTACTTGTTCTTTTAATCGTACAGTTTTAGTTTTTGGTAAGGGACTACAAACATGGGAGTACAGTCCAGAATTTGGACTTAGATCTTATTTTTATATAATGGTGCATGCTGCTCCAGCCTGGATTTACCATAAATTACTGCAGCCAAATCCTCTTCTTATGTTCTATTTCGTACGGTGTCTCTTGGGTTTAATTTGTGCTTTTGCTGAAGTTTATTTTTACAAGTAAGATTATACTCAAGTTAATTATTATTTTTTGCTGATTTATATTAACTTTGTAGAGCAATATGCAAAGAATTCGGTGTCCATATAGGAAGAATATGTTTAGCCTTTCAGCTGTTTTCTGCTGGAATGTTCGTTGCAAGTACAGCTTTCTTGCCATCCAGTTTTGCCATGTACACATGTGCTGCAGCTTGTGCAGCTTGGTGGCAACAGAAATTTGCATTAGCAATATTTTTTACTGCTTTAGGGTCTTTATTAGGTAGATTTTGTTTTAAAAATTGACTGTAAAATAAAACATTCAATTTTAGGATGGCCGTTTGCAGCTTTGCTGGGGATACCCATCGCATTTGATATGTTATTCAGGAAACAGTTGTACATAGATTTTGCTGCCTGGTCAGGAATATCAGCTCTAGTCATTCTCGTACCAATGATAATAATTGATTCTTTGATATATGGACGTTTTATTATAGCTCCTTTCAACATAGTCAAGTATAATGTACTGGGAGGGGCTGGTCCTAATTTATATGGCACAGAACCGTTATCATATTATTTTGTTAACGGATTTCTTAATTTTAACTTTATATGGGTAAATATTATATTTAGTTAAATTTATATCTATTAATTTGTTTGTTTTTCAGATATTAGCTTTATTGAGTCCTTTAGCTGTGATCTTAAATTATTTCTTTGTACCATCAAAAAATAAGAGTACATTATATTTACCATTTTGGTTGTCTTTAAGTCCGCTGTTTTTATGGTTAACAGTGTTTATGTTGCAAGAACATAAAGAAGAGAGGTAGGTGAATAAGACCATATGTTAATTTTAAAAAATATACATATAGACTCCATCTATAACATAAAATTTAAAAAATGTTTTATTTTTGTTATACATTGCTCCTCATGCAAGACCTCCGAACAAAACTCTTTAATTCGAACAAAATTCGGTTTAACGTATACAAGGTGTCCCGTTCATGTTTCAAAAAGTCTTGTGTGCCAGTTCCTCATGGAAAAATAATAGGGGTAGTTCTTGTAAAGTTTTTTTCTTAGACCCCTGTTTTCGAGATGCAGTGTGTTGAAGTTGTTACTTTCCAAATGGTTTTCCTTAATTATCTAAAAATCGACTAAAGATAAAAATGTCAAAATTTGTACACGAGTATCAACTGTGCATTAAGAATAATGTGCAAACGGCTTCTTTCTGAAAAGCAGTGGCGCCGATATAGATAATTGGAGGGGTACAATTGAAAAAAAAATGTTAAAAGTCAAAATTTATTGCATTTCTAAACGGTTCTGTAAACTCTAAAGCATACTACAAAAAAAAAGGTATACTTGTCGAAATTCGGTAGCATGTACCATTTTCGAAAAAAATTAAGTTGTATAGAAGGAAATGGGGGACAATTTCAGTATCTACTGTAGTATTTCGCGTTTGTACATTTATTTAATTGTGCATCTATTTTGTTCTGTATGTCTCCGAGTCTGTTTCCTAATATTTTTCTGTTCTTATCACATTTTTTAAGCATTCATGTCCATCAACAATTCAGACCATTCAACAATTGTTTATTTTAGTACTGGTAGTGTAATAGTTTACAAAACCTAAAATTAGTTAATAATAGATAATTAATAACCATAATCTGTTTATTTTGATTTACTTTTTTAAATGTTAGTTTACAAGAAACTGAAACTTAAAATTTTTTTTAGTTAATAAAATGTTTTAAAATTTAACTGTTTCATGTGATACGTAAGAAATTAAAATTAGTCTTAAATGGAAATACTGTGGTAGTTAAATGTCTTCAGCTCATTCAATGGTAAGGTCCTCTTTCAATTAATATTTTGTTAATATACATACTTATGCCGTTTTGTGTGATGGTACATGCTACCGAATTTTGACAAGTATACCTTTTTTTTTGTAGTATCCTTTAGAGTTTACAGAGCCGTTTAGAAATGTAATAAATTTTGATTTTTAACATATTTTTTCTTTGATCGTACCCCTTCAATTCCTGTATCGGTGCCACTGCTTTTCAGAAAGAAACCGCTTGCACATTATTCTTAACGCACAATTGATGTTTACTCACTGTTTACTGTACAAATTTTGACATTTTTATATTTAGCCGAATTAAAGAAACCATTTGAAAGGTAACAACTTCAACACACTGTATCTCGAAAACAGGACGTCTAAGAAAAAAACTTTACATAAACTGCCCCTATTATTTTCCCATGAAGAACTTGCACACAAGTTTTTTTGAAACATGAACGGGTCACCCTGTATAGTTCGGATTATAAAGTCAGATTACATAATAAAAAGTAACCGCTAAAAACGTAATTCCTCGGCAGTCTCGGGGAAACCCTTTTATAGAAGTTGGAACCTTTCTCGATTAGATGTTTTTAGTTGAAATATTATCGCCTTGCAAACATGTCGATATTTATACGACATATTTTACGATAATTGCGATTTTATTGCAATTTTTGCCTTCTCAGTAACACATAAAATCTAATACCAAAATAATAGTTCAGTCAATTATTTTTAAGAACAGGTATTATGGATTTGTACACAAATAAAAGTGTATATGTATCTAAGTATAAAAATGGAAAGTATATTTTAAAAATACTTGGCTTTAATTTTGTAAACTAAACAATGTAGGACTAAGATTAAGGTTAAGTTACGGCTAAGTTAGGACTAATACTTTTTTATAAACCAACCATAAGAAGCAAGTTTTATTTAACTTATTTGATCTTTGTTCCCAGATTTTTATTTCCTATATATCCAATAATTTGCCTAAGTGGGGCAATAACTGTAGACATATTACAGAAATTGTGCTTTAGAATATGGACTGTATTTAAAAAAATGCCTATTGGGACACATTATTTGGATAAAACAATATTTATCATGATCGCAGTAATGGTAATAACATCTTTATTAGGTAATAAACTTAAATTTATTTCCAATGTACAATCTTAAGATAGCTCTTATTTTATCTGATAATCTATATTTAAGTGGGAAATAAATAAAACTGTAGATAAAGACCTAACCAGTGTCAGATCAAAATTCTTCTTCATATATATTTTTAAATACTGACTAAATGACCATTACCATTTTTTTAGGTGTTTCAAGAATTTTTGCCTTGTACAGAAATTATCATGCTCCACTCGACCTAATGATGGAATTAAATCGATATCCCCTAGAAGCAAAAATATCTGATCGAGCTCAAGTCAATGTTTGTATAGGGAAAGACTGGCACAGATATCCCAGCTCTTTCTTTTTACCAAATACTAATTGGAATATACGATTTATTAAATCTGAATTTAACGGTATGTTACCCGCGCCTTACGCTGAAGGTGAAAATGCTACAACGATAGTACACTCATACTTCAATGACAAGAATCAAGAAGATATAAGCTTATATTTTGATCTCAATAAGTGTCACTTTTTATTAGACTTAGATTTAGGTAAAGAAACTGACTTAGAACCGATATATGCTAAAAGGAGGGATAAATGGAAGATAGTAAAAAGTTACCGATTTTTGAATGCAGAAAAGTCCAATAAATATTTTCGAGCATTTTTTGTACCTTTTCTAAGTGATAGATATGTAGTATATGGTACTTTCAGTTTGCTTCAATCCTCCAAATTAAAAATTAAGTAACATTAATGGATAATAGACATAATAACCAGCGTTTTTTACATTCCTTTATTGTTGATTTTATTAAATTATGTTAAAATGATTATACTTTAAATATTAAGAAAATTAATAAATGTACACATGTCAAAGAATCTGAGAAATATAACAATATGTTTTGAGAAAATGTAAGATAAATATATAGGGTGTATAATAGGTCACAAAACGAGGGAGCATATTCTTGTTCAAATTTAAGAACATTTTCTTATGTACACATTAAAACCTTTATTTTTGAGATACAGGATTTTCAAAAAAATAAATTTGTATATTGAATATTTTCTGAACAAATGAAGATATTGAAATAAAATTTTGAGTGCAATATATATTCATAAATTGGCATTTAGTGTAAAAAAAATTAAGTTATTGGGAATCAGTGGCATAGAGATAAGGTATGTTGATTAAATTATTATAAATTGTACCTAGCATATCACTGAATTTTTTTTTACATTTTTGAAATAATATTTAAAATGAATATAATCTGTTTTCTTTCATAGATTTGGATTTGATACAATCGAACAATTTATGTTTGACCTCTTTTTTGAATACACAACAGGGCTTTAAAGAAAAAGGTATCAGCAAATTGATAAGTATACTGGAATTTTTAAGAGAAGAGAAAAAAACGTGTGGACAGGAATCATATGTAGAAATTACTAATTTATATCAAACCCGTAAAATCTATTAAAAAAAGTCAAGAGATTGTTTTTGTTCAAATTAAAATTTGCATATCAAAAGGGATAAAAGAATTTTTTATTCCAGTGATGTACTTTTACTTTTACTGTATTTTTGAGGAAACTGTAACCAGCAAACTTCATATCTACGCCACTGCTTTGAGCTGAAACTTAATTTTTTCATGTTGTGTGCTATTTTATTCATGTATTGTGTACACACAACTTCATTGCAGTATCTTTATTAGTCACATTTTTTTAAGTTCAACGCCCTGTATCAAAAAATTAAAGCTTTAAAAGCAAATGTTTGTATAAGAATATATTTTTCAACTGAGACGAGGAAATCTCTTCCTCATTTTTGATTTTTTGTAGTATCTGTATAATATACCTACACAAGAATTTATGCAGTAAAAATGAGAAGAAAATATATTTTTCATACCAGTTTCATATTGATAAGCAAGAATCTAAATTATTTTAAACATTTTCTGTGAGAAATTTAAAAAATGTGGCCTCAACTATTAGTCACATTCAAAAAGACTAAGACACAACCATTGCATCTCTTGTGTCTCCTAAAGCCCTACGAGTAAAAAGAAATAAAATGGACTTTGAAATGAGCCAGCTTCTCATTTAAAAATTAAAAAATTAAATGTTTAGGTAAATCATATCCAGTTAATTCATTGTATTTTTTTAAATCATTATTACATAATTATTTGATAAAATAAATTCAGAAAAATTAAAAACAGTTTTGAATTTTATATAGACCATTGTTTTTAAAAAACAATTAATTAAAGTTTTTATAATCACACTAATTTATTGTGTTTAATTTCTACTATATGGCTTTTTAATCCATATAATATTTTGGATGTAAAACGTTGGATAATTTGAGGAAACAATTTTATATCCTTTGAACATTAAATTTATTTACAATATAATTTAACTGTTTAATATGTAGTGATGTAGTTTTTTTTTGAGTTTTTATTTTGTTACTCTTCTATCAAAGTATTGTACACTTCTTTAATAAATACTAAATATGAAATTAGTATTTTTTTTTCTTGCAAGTTTTTGGATTGCATTTTGAATTACTTTCCTATATGTGCTCATGCTTGTGAAATTTTATTAATTTCCTTTTCAACAATGTAAAATAATCTACAACTTATTTAATTAACTGAAGACAATTTTATAATAATTTAATGCTCTATACCAGCGGTCTTCAAACTTTTATGATGTGTGAAAACTCGCCAACATTTTGATTTTTTTGAGGAACCCCTACACCAAAAAAAAAATTTTCGAACACTTTTTTACTGATTATTTAATATATTTATAAATATGTACTAGGATTAACAAAATAAATATTCCACTATTGTAAGTAAAAATGAAAGTAAAGTAAATATTTATTAAGTAATTAAAAAAAAGAGTAAATATAATCAGACTGGGATGCAGTTGAATATTTTTACATAATATGTTAAAATCAGGTGCTATTTCAAATTCTACATTAAGCGTATTGTGATATTTTTTGTCGATACGTATGTAGAAAATGATTTTTCGTACAGATATGTAGTTGCAAAAGGCATTAATACATTTATTGCCTGGTCAGCAATTTCAGGATATTTCTTATAAATCTAGCCAAAAATCTAGGGAAAGGTGATGTAACCAAAGAACGCTATGCCAGCTTATAAGTTATAAACCGACTATTTGCACTTGCATAAATAGATAAAGCTCTTATAGTAACTTATACGCATATACTTATAAAAATAATAATAAGTTATGAGTGTAAATTTTTTTGAATTTTATAATTATCGATAATAAAATTTTAAATTTTTGTCTGAGTCGTGGAACCCCCAGTGGGGTTGTGTAGAACAGTAAAGACCGTGCTCTATACCGATGTACATACATACAAATACTAATTTACACAATATAGAATTTTTGTTGCAAATAGACTGGTAAAAATTAAAGTAACTATAATGGATTTATGTCATTATATTTTTATAATGAAGCCCAGAACCCTTGCCTTTTTTAGGGCGACATAGACAACTTTCTGATGAAAAAATTTCAAAAAGATACAAACTGATCTTTTCTCAGTTATAATATAAAGTTTAAAAACTGATCTTAAAATTTAGATTATAATTTTATAAAATATGTAAATAAATACCTAATTGCATATTTATCAACTGATAAAGCAAAATAAATATTTTCAAGGGTGCAACCGGTTTTCAGATCTTGAGGCAGGCTATTCTAATTTTCATTTTTTCGCGTCAAATTTCATTAGAAATCTTTTCATCATGAGAGTTTGCATAGAAATCATCATACCTAAAGAACTGTATAGATCCCACACTTAATTATCAAAATGTGACTTAATTTTCACCAGTAGTCACAAATATATGAGAACAAAATTGTATATTTAAATAGTAATTATAAATAATTTTCTTTTAGCAGGAATTATTTCTAAACTATCAAATATATTTGATCGGAACGATATTACTTTTAGTTTCCTTAAAAATACGCTACAGAGACTTAAATGTTTGAATATTTACATTTAGGCAAAGTTAAAAAATGTAGCATTGTGATCACCTAAATCTAAGAATATTTTCTTACATAAACATAAACCATTATGTTTGATATACAGAGTAATGTAATGAAAAAATATATATCTCTAAATATTTTCTGAACAAGTGAAGAAAGCGAAATGAAATTGTGTATGCACACATTACATGAATAATAAAATGACATTCAAAGGAAAAATAAAAGTCCCCACTCGAACAAAAACCTATTAAAGTCTGATTAAACAAATGAGTTGCTATAAAAAATGATAATGAAAATTTAACAAAATCGTTATAAAAAGTCAAAAAACAAAAATTTACATGGTGTGTTTTTCAAAAAATCCTTTTTTTTACACTCAGTGCTCCTAACATTTGTTACACACTGTACATAAGTATGTAGGTACAAAGTACCTACAGTAATTTTAAATCCAAACTTGACTGCAATAACAAATGTGTCATATTCTTAATTTTGTTGGAATTAAATTACAAAACAGGAAAGGACATTGTAGAAATACTATTTATATTTAATGGCGCAATATATAAATTAACAGCAGTTATTTATAAATAAAATATATTTTGTTATACTGCGACTCAAAGAAATGCTGTAGAATGAAATTTAATTAAACTGGAGGATTTTTATAAAATTTTAATTTCCCGCATTTGGCAGTGCGATCGCTAACCGCCAACACATGCTCATAAACGATGCGCAACAATCGTGCTTACTAAACGCCATTGTTGGACGATTGACTGTTCTTTAATTTTGTGTTAAAATAAAACTGTTAGTTAATATAAACATTATAAAGGCGTTGTAGTGTAAGTGATTAGCATAATATAGTGCAATAGTGGCAGTGATTTTTTACTAACTTTAAAGTGGGGAAATTAACACAAAAGACTAGTCAATGTCAGCAGGCGTGTCAGATCAGGTAAAAATCAAAATATTATTTGACAGTTTTTAGATAATAAATAAAGTAAATTTTACGTCCAGTTAACAACAAACTTAATACGTTTTTATTTAATTTTCATATGGCTTCTTCAGCGGATGAAAGGACAGGGAAATCAAGGTATGTCTGAGAACTGTTATTTATCTCTCCAAAACTTTCTTATCTAAACTACTTAAAATATAATAAACCGCCTGTCGCGCCTTATCAAATTTAAAAGTTATAAAATCGTTTTCCATGATTGGCTATTTATATAGCTAATATTTTGGTTTGAAAATTTAAATACCTAATAATGATGAAGACAGGAAATTATGGAGACATTTAGTCCTCTTTGAGAAGGTCATTATGTACTGAGTAAATTGTAAAATGTATTAGAAAGTAATAACTTATATTTACTTTATTACCTTACATTTTTATAATATTAACCTGTATATTATTTTATTAAAAAAATAACTTGAGTTTTTACTTTCATTGGGTTAAGGTTAGAAATTTACAGGGTTTGTAGCAGGTGATTCTTAAAAATATTCAATATAAATATTATTTACTAAAGGACAGGGTATATACATTCACGTGTAATGTCTTATATAGTGTCCAATGGCCCTAAAGAACAGCTAGGAGCAGGAGAAGGAGCAGCAGGCTCTGAGGAGTTCGAACCATGGAGATCCCAGCAACAGAATTCTGCCGCCCACACTGCCTACGGAGCCTCTGTTCCCATATCGAGTGCAACAGACATATACAACATGAGTACTGCAGGTATATTAAATCTAACTATTTTATTAGTCTGTTTTCTATTACATCTACAGAGCCTTCATAAATGTTTACAAGCCACTTGACCGCCAAGCTAGGCAACCCAAATTGTACAATTAGTACTAGTAACGAAAAATCCTTAACCAATTTTAGTGATTCGTTTACAGTAAATGGTAACAGACCGTTATGCCTACGCTCAAAATAATTCGATCGCTGATCGGTTGAATAGAATCTTGTGAAAAATTATACCAATCACAGCCCTTGAAACACAATGTTGTGTTTTAATGTAATTTTGATCTGATTGTTTTAATATTTTTTTAATTTTACCGAAATTTAATTGCTAACATGAAGGAAATATAATTACTGTTCCAAATAAAATTACTGATCACGTGGCTTGTGATTATTTATGAAGGCTGTGTATATTATACATTTCGGTACACCCTCTTTATATCTTATTAAAACATAAGTTTTTATATGTAATGATTTGATTATTACCAACAAAATCAGGTTAGGTACATTATTTGTTCTCATATTTTCTTCAGCATATTTTTATAATGCGTAATACTTGAACTGGCAAAGTAGGATTATATATTTTTTTATATTACCTATAGTAAAATAATATCTTATCAACTTATTTCACTTAGTTTAGAACCAAACCTTTTACTAATAAATTGATGAATTTTTGAAGAACTACGTGAATTGTCAGTGTAAAACAGATTTTATACAATATTTTAATGATTATTAGATTTTTTTAAATTTTTTATACCAGCATAGATTGCTACAAGTTCTAATATCTACTTAGCTCCACTTCAGTGAAAAAGTAATATTCATATTGTCACCTTAATACAGAATGTTGGTCACCAAAGAAATCTCATTGAATTTAAAAAAAAAAAAGAAGAAATTTAAAAAAAGGAAGAATTCAAAATAAATAAATATTGTAACTACTATACGTCTCACAGGGAGAAGGCAAGGTAATAGGATTTTTGTAATTTTTGATATTTATGGTACTTGTAGTTTGGACCTTGAATAAGAATTTTCCGAAGTAATTCGACGCAACGTTCATAAGTTACCGAGATAATCGATTTTGAAGTTTTACCTGCCAGCTAAATTCAAATATCAAACATTACAAAAATCCGATTACCTTGCTTTCTCTTTGTTAAATATGAACTACAAAAAAGTAGACGCGAAAAATTATGAAAAGAAAAAAAAAATTAGCTTGCACATCTACACTGTAGAATTTTTCTTTCTTCTTTTCTATTTGAAAATCTGTTTATTAATACATCTAAAAATATGTTATTTAATGCTATCTAAAGACTGTAATATTACATATGACTTTAAGGGCCCCATATTCTTTAAATAGTGTTTTCCGCAAAGACAAATAATTTCAAACATTTAATAACTGAATAATCTAAAGCTTATCAAATAATAGGAATGTTATGTCATGCCATCTGGTTATTTTCAAAGACGCCGCAGTAAAACGAATAAACAGGTGCAAAAAACGATCAAACCATCAAGGTTTTAGGTACTGAAATCTACGAAAATACTAACTTTTTTATATATAATTCCACATGTAAATATTCTTATAACATTTACTTGCTTAGTCCTACATATAAAATTGTTTACTTTTATTTATAAGTACGTGAAAATAATTCTTAAAATGTGGGGTTAGAATAACAGCAAACGCATGTTTTACAAACGCTTTTTTTTTTATTATTTTATTTGAGTAAATTTAAATGGTAACAATGAATAAACAAAACATCAAGGATTTTATTTTTGTGCTTACTGTTGTTCTACATGTTTTACTTTTAAAGGTTTCAGTACCTAAAAACGCCAGAAATTTCACTATTTCTCGGCCAGGAATATGGCCACCTTAACAATTATAAAGATGAATGATGATGAATGAAATTTAGGATAAAAGTAGAAATATACAGGGTGTTTCAGAAAGACCTCTCGTAAATACAGGGGTTGATAGTATGACAAAAAATAAGAATTTTTTGTCGTATGAACTATATGTTTATCTCTTCTTGTTTTCGAGATTCAGAGCGACAAAATAAAACTTTTTAAACAGAATTTTTACTAAAATTTCCAAACGGTGCGAAATATTTTTATGAAATTTGGTATTCCGGGGTTTTTAAGGATGCCAAATACGCTGGTCTAATTATTTTTTGGATATTTGATAGAGGGCGCTAGTTATGCTACATTCCTATTAAATTTTAAGTTCTAATTTTTTTAAGGTTAGGTTTTTTACGATTCGGGCTTCAATTTCTATTATATAATTTTATTTTCTACAAATAATGTACCCTTGTTAGAACTTCCTAATGTGGACAGTTTTTGAAAAAAGGCTTTTAACTCGGCTTTTAATTAAACTTAAATATTACGGTGTATAAAATAAGTGACTTTTCTCAAAGTAGGCTAGTGTCAAAATTTATTAATGGATGTCTAATAAACAACGCATACATTCTTAGTAATATTTTAAACTCTAATTAACTTTATATCAAAATTTTAGTGATTTTAGTGACTAGTTAGTAATGACTAATTACAGTCAGTAAAATTTTGATATAAAGTTAATTAGAGTTTAAAATATTACTAAGAATGTATGTGTTGTTTATAAGACATCCATCAATAAGTTTTGACATAAGCCTACTTTGAGAAAAGTCACTTATTTTATATCCCTTTATATTGTAAGAGTTCTCGGGAACAGTCCACATTAGGAAGTTCTAACAAGAGTACATTATTTTTAGAAAATAAAATTGTACATTAGAAATCGGAGCGAGAATGGTAAAAAACCAAACCTTAAAAAAATTATAACTTAAAATGTAATAGGAATGTAGTATAACTAGCGCCCTCTATGAAATATTCAAAAAATAATTAGACCAGCGTATTAGGCATCCTTAAAAACCCCAGAATACCAAATTTCATAAAAATATTTCGCACTGTTTGGAAATTTTCGTAAAAATTATATTTAAAAAATTTTATTTTGTCGCTCTGTATCTCGAAAACAAGAGGAGATAGACATATAGTTCATAAGACAAAAATTATTATTTTTTATCGTACTATCACCCCCTGTATTTACGGGAGGTCTTTCTGAAACACCTTGTATATTCACTTCATGACTTAAAAATTTTATCATAAAAGTCCTTTTCCTAAACTTCCAGTTCTTTTTAAAAATGACAACAATATCGGTTGTTCTGAACAACATCCTGTTTCATTTCACAGAAACCTTAAATTGACTGTAGTGTTCTGGTAGTATTTTATTTATTTTTATAGCATAGTTATTTATTGTACAAGTTTTATGTTATGTATGGGGTAGTCCGCCATAAGTATCACCCCATATATTTTCTCTTTTATCTTGTAAAAAATAAAAATGTATAAGAATAAAAATTGTACTTAGTTTATATTTGGTGCTTAAATTACATACTTAAACAATCACACAGAATTGTTTAATGCAGCATCCTGTATATTTACATACTTAATGTTTTCTTACAATTACAGTGATAATAAATTCAATGGGTTTATCTCTAATAAGGGAAATATCCAAATAAATATACCATAAAGTGAAGGTCATAGAATTAAATAATTATTATTTGCTAGACAGCCAAATTTTTGTAACAAATTATGCTTGTAGCTTACTTTTTTGATTATATCTGTCTTGCTATTAGAGATAGATCCATTAAACTTTGTCACTGTAATCATAAGAAAACGTTTTATCCAAATATATAAAAAATACAGTTCTGTTAAAAAAAAAATTAAGTCGGTGTCTTTATAATCCAATGATCAATTGTCTTCAGAATTTGGGCAACAATAAGTTATTTAAAATACTTTGTAATTTCGTATACACTTTTTGATATCCCAAAAGAAAGATAAAGAGAAAATAGGGAATGACACTTATGGCTAACAATCACATACAAATATTTTAGTTACATTGTTTAATAATAAGGAAAGTACTGTTGACCATTTTTGATTTTTTATGCTTCTCTTTGCAAAAAAAACACTTGAAGAAAGGTAACTATGAAATGATAATTTCGAAAAATTTTGACTGTTCTGGAGAAATTAATTCCCAAATATTTCTAAATCGAAAATAATGTAAAAATTAAGTACATTTTTATATTTTTCATATTACTAAAACTAGAACTTTTATTTTCTTAAAACTTCAGTATACTGTATAAAACATTTCAAGTAGTTTTTTTGTTTATGTAGGTGATTCAATTAGGGCATTTAGTTTTCTTCTTAAGTTTTCAGAGTGAAGAGCAAATACCATGTTAAATGTACAGTATGTTTTCACAAATAATAATGTATACAGGGTGTCTCATAATTAGCTGCCAACCCTGAACAGGCCGATTCTATGATCAAAACTAAGTAAAAAAGTTCATATGAACATGGGTCCGGAAATGCTTCCTAAGGGCACAGGGACCCATTGAAGAGGGAGGAATGGAAATCATTTTTTTGCAATATCTCTCAATCGCGTTGTGATAAATGAATGAAATTTGGTATACACAGCTAAATTTTGATGAGCAATTTGATGGACTAATCCATTTATTTCCACAAGGTCCATTGGGGTGGGTACGGGGGGGCCCTTGGTACTTTGCGTGTGTAACTTTTTCATCTTTGACTTTTTAACAAATTGGACAGCAAATTCCGTTTTCCCGAACTGTTTTACGTTAAAAAGGTACTCTTGTTTCAAATCGTTATCTTTAACGGTTTCTGAGAAAATCGCTCTTGAATTAATCCCACTTTGGTCAATTTCATAGTAATTTAAACAAAAAAAATTTTTTTGTTTAAATTTAATCTAATTTTAATAAAAAAATAATAATAAAAAATTAAATTAAATAAAAATTAATCCTTTAAATGGAAAAGAGAGGAAAGGAAAATTATTATTATTTTTTTTTGTTTAAATTACTATGAAATTGACCAAAGTGGGATTAATTCAAGAGCGATTTTCTCAGAAACCGTTAAAGATAACGATTTGAAACAAGAGTACCTTTTTAACGTAAAACAGTTCGGGAAAACGGAATTTGCTGTCCAATTTGTTAAAAAGTCAAAGATGAAAAAGTTACACACGCAAAGTACCAAGGGCCCCCCCGTACCCACCCCAATGGACCTTGTGGAAATAAATGGATTAGTCCATCAAATTGCTCATCAAAATTTAGCTGTGTATACCAAATTTCATTCATTTATCACAACGCGATTGAGAGATATTGCAAAAAAATGATTTCCATTCCTCCCTCTTCAATGGGTCCCTGTGCCCTTAAGAAGCATTTCCGGACCCATGTTCATATGAATTTTTTTACTTAGGTTTGATCATAGAATCGGCCTGTTCAGGGTTGGCAGCTAATTATGAGACACCCTGTATATTGCTCTGTTACGGTGAAAATTAGGTTTAATCCCCTGGCAAAAAACAAGATTTTATACTAATCGTTGAAGAAAATAAAGATATATTTACTATTGCAATATACAAATATGTGTTGATTTGCAAGTGTAATAAAACCTTTGCTGAATTATAAATTTTAGGAATACTTGCGATGATCTAGAAAATATTTAATATATTAAGAACTGGTGTTTAAAAAAACTTTTTCTTTTTGCAATAAATGATTTTTCCTTTTGCACTAAACAATATTAGAAGATAATTTATGAAGGTAATAAAATATTTAATTTTAAATACAGTAGGAAAATCTAATATTTGTTAAAAATAATTTAATGTGATGTAAACATTTCTTTAAACACAGGATATTACGGCAGTGGAGGAACTTATCCTTATCAGGCGTATGGTGTAGGAGATGGAACATGGTCAAACGGAACAGATCCGATGACATTTTTAAGCGGTTATCCTCACGACTCATATTCAATGGACGGTGAGTTGAAAATAAAGTTTATTGTTGATGGATGAACTTGATTATCCAACATACTTCAGCAAAGTGTTCGATATTAATAAAAAGATTTTATACAAAATTTTGAGTTCATCACATTTTTGACTTACAATTTTCTTCTTCTTTCTTTTCCAAAAATGTTATCATTTGTAGGGTATTCCATTTAAGATTGACATTAACTTCTGCAACAAATTTAAAATATTTTAGTTAAAGTGCTTGTAGTTTGAAACTTAGAGCGAGTAGGGGATAAGTACGCAATCTTTATAAATGTGATTTTTGCAGAATTGAGTTTAAAAATCTACTTTTTTCAACCAGTGCAAATATGGAATATGTGGGTTGAACAGAAACTTATCCCTTATTTGCACCACACCCTAATATTTATCCTGGTCATTTTTTTTATTTATTTTTGATATTCACCATTCACAAATGTTGTTTTGGGCATATCATTATTTATGTGACAATTTAACTGTAACTCAGATGTAAATGTTGACTAAATAAGTATAGTCAAATTATATAACAACAAATAATACTAAAAAAAAACTCCTTTTGCTTTTGTTGAACAATTTTCGTATTTAACGTTTGCCCCCTTCTGGTACCACAATTATGCTCTATCTTCATCCTACAAATTGTATTACATAAAAAATTAAGCAGCAAAATATGTCTTGTTAATAATGGAAATTACATTATTACAATAAAAATTATATTTAAAAAATTTTATTTTGTCGCTCTGTATCTCGAAAACAAGAGGAGATAGACATATAGTTCATAAGACAAAAATTATTATTTTTTATCATACTATCACCCCCTGTATTTACGGGAGGTCTTTCTGAAACACCTTGTATATTCTCTTCATTACTTAAAAATTTTATCATAAGAGCATATCATTATTTATGTGACAATTTAACTGTAACTCAGATGTAAATGTTATACTTATTTAGTCAAATTATATAACAACAAATAATACTAAAAAAAAACTCCTTTTGCTTTTGTTGAACAATTTTCGTATTTAACGTTTGCCCCCTTCTGGTACCACAATTATGCTCTATCTTCATCCTACAAATTGTATTACATAAAAAAATAAGCAGCAAAATATGTCTTGTTAATAATGGAAATTACAATGCTGATATTTGTTGATTATAACGAGCGTTCAAATAAAAACGTGGTCAAGTTGGTTCTGAAAATTTGGACGTAGGGCGTAAAATATAGCAAATGAACTTAAACGTCATCTGTCAAAGCGCTATATCGCCGCTATCAATTTGAATATTTTCGTTTTAAAAAGCGTTTAAAACGGTGTTTTCTCAAGAACAAAAAGTGTTTATCATAGAGTCCTACTTTAGAAATGGACGCAAGATTGATGGAATATGGAAGTATTCTATTGAGGAATGTTTCATAGAATTTCAAAATCAATTTCCCGGCGTTCAGTACAAAATTTTTCAAAGTGCAGTTCAGCGTTGTGTTAATGTTTTTCGTGAAACGGGCAGTGTAACAAGAAAAGAAGGAAGCGGCTGACCTAAAAAACGGACTGAAGAAATAAAAGAAAATGTCCAACAAATAATGGAAAATGCGCCAAGAACTTCTGTACGTGTTTTATCACAAATGGTGGGAGTATCAGTCGGTACCTGCCACACAGTGTTAAAAAAAGATTTGCGTTTGTTCTCCTATCGTTTAACTTGTCAGCAAGAACTTCATGAAGTTGATTTTCCGCGACGGGTTGTATTTTGTGAATGGTTTTTAAACAACTACGGTGAACTTCATAATATCAACTTTTTTTCTGATGAAGCCTGGTTTCATTTAAGTGTTATAACAAGGAGGGGGACACTTACCGCAGCTCCTTTAATTGTTTGTTATTGTTATCACGATTATTCTTTAAAATAAAGTTATATAGTCATTAACGTTATTGAAACTAACAGCTGCTATACAGCTCGTTGAGAAATGAGGTTAAGTTGGTCGCTATAAGCTACGCCCTACGTCCAATGTGTCAAAGCCAACTTCGACCACGTTTTTATTTGAACGCTTGTTAATATTAGTGTTTGTATAAGTAAAAGAGATTATAAAAATTGGTGTATCTTTTTTTCTCTAGGTATGTTCGGTCCCTCAACAACATTTTCTACTCCAACCGCGTTCGCAGGTCAACCGTCGTCTTTCAATTACTTCCACAGCAATGGCGATTACAACACATGGGGCAGCCAGCTAGGGGGTCAAAGAAAATACGACGATTATTACAGGGATCATCAAAACATGTACACTCAGGCAATGCCAGATTCTCTCAAAAGTGTCGAACAAGCCATGCAAAATTTAGGTAAAGATTTTATATTTTTGAAATCGAGTAATACTGGGGTGTTAATTAAGTACATATACAAGCTTTAAGGGGTGATTCTTTGAGTAATCTGTGTAACCAAAAAGGTTACGTAAACATGGAGCCGTAAATTGATACTTTTCTCTGCTGAAATCAATGTACCAATGTACCATTGACAGGGATTTTCATGTTTATCCATATAACCTTTTTGGATTAAAATCACTCAAATAATCACTCCTTAAAGATTGTGCATGTACTTAAGTAACATATAATTTTCATGTTATTTTAGATCTTAAAGCATCAGTAGATTCGAAAGAAACTTTAGGTCAGCCTAAGAAAACCACATGGGCAAGCATAGCCAGTCAACCAGCAAAGCCTCAGCTCACCATTCAAAATCAAGGGCTCAAAAAGAAAGGACCTGGAATGCCGCCGGGTCCCATTGTTCCAGGGAAACATAACATGGACATTGGCACATGGGACACAAATAAGAGCACCCCTCCTCAACTACCCGTTGTCAACAATACCCCAAAAAATGTGGTGGCATCCGCCATTGCAGTCAGGCCTGGTTGGAGCGGACCTCCAACAAGTAGGCAAGCCCCTCCTGCCCCCAGGCCTCCCCAGCATCCCATGCAAACCTATCAGCCCCAGGGCATGATGCCTCCACATTTGCCACCCCAAGTTAACATACCGGCTGGCGGGCACATGCAGGTTAGTCTGTAATTTTATGTTACATGTGTTAATTGCATTTTATGAATTGTTTTTATAAATTACAGTTACATTGGATGCGAATTTGTAGGAAATCATTTGAAGTCTTAACATATTATTTCGTAGCGGTTATATTGAATACAAAGGTTGCCTTTTATATTTTAGGAATAGAGAAAAAACAAAGAAATTAATCACCATATCTGGCTTTATTGATTTTCAAAATATGCCGCATGATGATCGATACACTTTTGCATTCGCTTAAACCAATTTTTGAAATACTTTTTTCATTCCTATCGAGGTACCTCCAAAATATGCATTTTGAACAGATCAACCGCTTCTTCAGGCATCGAAAAAGGTTGACCTAGTAATTTATTTTTATTGTGCGGGATTTAAAAAAAAGTCATTGGATGCCAAATCAGGGCTGTACGGCAGATGATTCATCAATTTGACTTTTTCAGTTCTCAAAAAGTCTCTTGTTTGAGCAGATGTGCGAGAGCTTTCATTGTCTTGGTGGAGAATGATGATTTGAGTTCCCTCATTTTTCCAAAGACTTCTGACAAATAAATAGTTGTGTACCATCAGAAATGGCCGTCATACGTTGCACTAATGGTAGTTACCACATGTCGGTTTTTTTTTTTTTTTTCGAAAAAAATCTACCATTTGTTTAGAAGTACTTCATGTGCGAATAGCTTTTGCTGGTTCTGGCTCATCCTGAAAGACCCATACAATCGACTGTTGTTTACTTTCGGGCTCTTATGACTCGTAACCTGTTACTATGTCATAGACATGTTTTGAAGCATCGCGATCATATTTCTTGAGCATTTCTTTTGACCAATGTGAAAAAAATTTTTGACGTCAAATGTTCTTGCAATACAGTGTAACCTCTTTAATCCAAACACACGTTAATCCGATCACACACTAATCCGAATGGCCAAATCTGAACGATGACAAGAAAAGACTAGATCGCTTCGCACGTATGCGTGTAGTCAACAGTCAGTTTGTTTGCCGATAGCGAAGAACCTGTTGCATGTCGTGTTTTGTGTAACAATTTTGGAGTTTTTTGGAAGTAAGAAAAATAAAAAATGTGAAAAGCATAAAATAATACATATAGGTATACGTAACTACATGTTTATGTTTTACCTTATATAAGTTTTATGTGTCTTATATAATTTATATTTATATTGTTATAATAAAATGTGTATGTACTTACATAATATACATATGTACAAATCTTTATAGTATGTTCGATAATCCGAACGATTCGATAATACGAACAATGTCTGGCAATGTGATGTTCGGATTAAAGAGGTTGCACTGTATTGAATAATTGAATGTATGCTGGTCAAATTAATGCCTAAGGATGCCTCATCCTCACGATAAGTCACATAATCTTGCAATATCAGCATGTACAGCATCAACATTTTCTGGAACAACAACCGATTTTGGTCGACCTTCACAAAATTCGTCAGTGAGCAAACCACGACCATGATTTTGATGGTGCTTCATCGCCAAAAGTCAAATTAATTCATCGATGGTTGTTGAAATAATCCAAAAATAATTGCACGGATATGTTCGCGAATTCCATGTTTCCTTTTTCTTAACACAGCATAGTTACAAACACTGATGCTAAAATATCCAGTAGTGGTGTTGAATTTCTGAGAGATTTTTTCTGAAAGTAATCTCTGCCACTGGTACACATATTTATGTTCAAATTCAGTGAATTTTTACCTTTAATTATAGAAATCGCTAGCTCAAGTTTCATCATCTTGCATCAAATATCCACAAAGATATTTTTGAAAATGTGAAATTCTCTTCTAATTTCAACACTGTACCCCAAAAAATATTGCCCTTTTTGGCTTCATATCACAGAATATTCTGACTTTGTTTTTTTTTATTAACATACTAAAATGACACCCGAATATACAGGGTGATTCACATAAAATTTCGCTGTCGATAATTTCATTATGTAAAAATATATTTTTATTCTGTAAGAGCTAGTTAATAGGGCTTCTCCATGATAACAAGATCTCAAGTAGGATTTTTTCAGAGCAAATTGGACATAAAGTTGGAGTCAGTTTTCTTTTGTTAACCCGTTAACTTTAAGCAAATTTTATTGCCCAATTCTCTAAAATTTTCGTCGTTTCAAATTGATGGTAAAGTAGGGATGAAACGATTGCAAAAAAATATTACAAAACTGTGCAATACCATTGTGTATGTTTGCTTTGATGTGGGGAAAAGCTGACAGTGGATCATCTTCGGACCATTTACTAATCTCTTATCTTTGTCGCAGTGTGGTTCACAATGCGGTGTCGTTGCAAGTCTTTACAAACCAGAATGTTTATTGCGCCTATATGGCATTCACTAACCCATACATATGGCAGCACAGTTTGCTACCCCGTTTGTAACATGGAGCAGTGCCAAATAGAAAGCTTCATATTTTAAATCATTGGGTATTTTGAGATAGATGCTTTTTTCATATAAGATTTTTTTTAAATACATGGTATCTGCAAAATCAGTGAATGCAAAAATATCAAATGCAACCTATCAGTATTCCCACATATTAATTGCTGCAGATAGTTTTCACTTCCGCACAGATTTCGAAAAATGGTCATTTTACAATATCAAAGGCTTTTTTTGTGAGCCACGACTCCTCGTCGAAAACGGCAAATTTTCGCTGAGGAAGGGAGACAGAACCCGACAGGAACGCGAACCGACACGTTTCGAAGGGCAATTTAAAATACTAAAGGCTTTTTCCGAGGACCGATCGGGGGCTTGCTCAACTCTTACGCGCGAGTTTTATTCTTCGTCGCCACAGGGCGGTTTCGAAAGGTATTTTTTACTTTTTAATGCCGAAATTTTGCTTTTTAAAAAGGTTTGCACCTTGCATCTCTCTCCAATACCCCCAATATTTTCTTTAAGACGGGATTATTTCGCCCAAAACGCTATTTTCGTGACGTCATATTTTCCTTTATGCATACAGCCAGCATCCGCGCTCTGTTTCGAGATGGAGCCGGAACTTTTCTCTTTGCGGGCGAGCAGCTCCTGCAACCCGGCGACATCCCTTTTCTGGTATCAGAACGCTTTTCCGATGCCGCGTCGCAACGTTCTGTCTCTTCTATATCGCCCTCAACTTTTATTAGGTCAAATGTAACAAAATTTAAGACCAGATTAAGAATGTTTTGATACAAACTGTCACCGTGGTAGAAACATCAGAATTATCATGTTTTCTATCGTTCCGAGTCCTTCGCGGAAGATTTTACTGCAGAAAAATACAATTTTTAACATTATGAAAATGTCTGTTTTTCGGCTATGAACAGTAATTCAAATACCCATACGGACAAACTCTATCTAGAGGCGTTGATGGCTCAGCGGTAAAAGTGTCACGTTGGAACCCGGAGGTCGACGGTTCGAACCTCGCAAGGACTTCCTAAGAATATTTTTTTTTACTTACTGCCGTATTTTACCTTCATTATGGAGTTTTCTTTTTAAATCTTTCCATAAGAAGAAAATATAACTTTTCAAATACGTTTTTATACACAGGATGTCTAAAAATATTGCGTTGAACCTCGAACGGCGGTCCAGAGATAATTATGAAGTTACGATGTTGATGACTTTTATATACAGGGTGTTCCAAAAAATGTTATATTTACCAACTGGCAAGGAAAGCACCACACAGCGCGGCCCGAAAATTTAATCACATATAGAAGGGCTCTCAAGCTTTCAAACGCTTTTTTAAAAATTCGAATCCGTCAATTAGGAGAGCTCTGGCGCTTATTTAAACATCGGTCGAATTTTTGTACTTATAAACAATCATGATTCATTCGATTTGTAACTACAGTGCAACCTCTTTAATCCGAACACCACATTGCCAGGCATTGTTCGTAATATCGAATCGTTCGGATTATCAAACATACTATAAAGATTTGTACATATGTATATTATGTAAGTATGTACATACACATTTTATTATAACAATACCTATAAATATAAATCATATAAGATACATAAAACTTATATAAGGTAAAACATAAACATGTAGTTACATATATGTATTATTTTATGCTTTTCACTTTTTTTATTTTTCTTATTTCCAAAAAACTCCAAAATTGTTACACAAAACACGACACGCAACAGGTTCTTCGCTATCGGCAAACAAACTGACTGCCGACTATGCGGGTACGCGCGAAGCGATCTAGTCTTTTCTTGTCATCGTTCAAATTTGGCCGTTCGGATTAGTGTAGTCATATTTTGTGAAATTTAATTACAAACATTTTTTTCCTTTTCCATTTTCGCCTAAAATCAACTCTTGAAAAGATACATACATAATTCTAATTTTTTTAACATATTGTGCCTCCAAAACTTAAGCCCACGTTTTTTTTTATGCGCATAGAAAAATTTTCATTCCTAGTGATATTTGAAAGCCAAAAAACCAAAAATCTCCGTGGATATACGTTTCACCCAAACCAAAACAGATACCGCCTAGTCTATTATAGACAATTTACTTATAAGAGTCGACCACTTTCAAAGGGCTGGCACTGTACAATAAGAGACTGGGACAACTGAAGTTCTACTGTATTTTCCAAATTTGTGTTTTAAATATATTTTTAAATTAATTGGATTAGCATAGTTTGGAGACAGTGGCATTAATAGAAGTTTAAGCCCCACCCATTTTCTCAGAGATTTGCATTTAGATTTTAATTAAATTACATATATTAAAGTAAACGAAGGTATTAGACAAAAATATAATTTCATTGCATATGCTTCTAGGTACTTATCATAAAAGTCAAAAAAATTCTTAAAAAGTATTAAGTATAGACTATTGAAGTGGAAACACAATTCTGATACTGTTAAATAGTGGCACCAATCACAATACTATTAGTATACCATTGTCACCGCTGCCCTTTATAAAGACTAATATACAGGATATCCATAACTCGCTATCAATTTTGTACCCTCAAAAAATTTTACTTTTTTAAATTCAAGATATTTTGATGAAATTTGGTAAACACCAATTTTTAGAATAGCTAAAACTTGAGCAGAGTTCTGCTTTTTACCATATATTGTGTAGGTAGTGATTTTGAGAAAACGTAAGCAAGCACCACGTTATAATGCAACGGGTATTCTTGTGGCATATCACTAAAATCTATAGTACATGTATGTTCTAAAGAAGCTTTGTAGTTACGACAGCCTCGCGTGACTTTCCCAAAATTGTTAAATCCCTCCTTATTCCACACGCCCCACTTTACACTCACAATTAAACACGGCATACAGAAAAGTTTTTTTAAATAAACATTTCCACACAACCACTTATACTCCAAATACCATTCATTCCGAAACTTTGAACGTACACATTGTCTTCTCCTTTTTTTTCCATATCGAAAGAATAAGGTACAGGTCTCACGCAATTGAAAAAATCCTTTTTGTCCTCAATTTTCCATCTGGAAAATGGCATTTCCAATAAAATACATACTGGATCATACATAGGAAACATTTCTACAATTATTATACAAAAGAAATAATCAGCCCTATTCTGTAACTCCTATTCGAATAGAAATGTATAAAATCGAATCGAGATCAACCCATCAAATCGGAATTGGGAAACATCGGTATTCTATAACTTGTTTCGACGTCTACTATCGAAGTTGTTGGTAGAAATCGACGTCGATCGGTCAAACTCTGTCAAAGTGGTAGTTTTAGATATCGAGATCAGGTCACGCATGCGTTGTTGTGTTAGATGTGTCAGTTTGAGTTAAGCATAACCTCGCAACACAACAAATCTTTTTTCCTTTTCATGTTTTAAATCACAGAATTATAAAATATTTGTACGTCTATACGTACGTGTATAGGTATATTTTTTATTGAGTTATCTAATTTGTGCATGGTTTATAATATTATCTATCAAAGGGCTTAGTTTTACCATAAAGTAAAATTTTGTGCAGCGTAATGAAATCTACCATGTAGTTCAGCTGCTCTGTAGAAGTTTTTTTCTTTATTGGAGTCGGAACTGACGTCATTAATATTTTTCAGTACTAACCTTCTCGAAAGATTACAGCAAAATGAATGTATTTTTAAACTAAACTATACAATCTAGTAGGTAGGTACAATTAAATTTACCGAACATGGGATTTCCTATAAAAACACATCTGCAAGTCAACTGTGCGTAAATTCCACTTTTTATACCTGCGCTAAATCTTGTAAAAGGCACATTTATCTTATTTTTACAGCTAATTTGCATATTTCATATTTTGAAACTTCTAACCTCTAAATGTCACTTGGTTATTAAAGTCTATAATCGCAGAGCAATGCATTGTTGCCTCTACGATTTGAGTTACAGAATACCAATTTGAGGAAACGATCAACGCGATAGATATTGAACTTTACAAATTGGGAATATTTCGACTCGATCTGAGCATTTCGATGCAAGTTAGAGAATAGGGCTGATTAACTAAGAACCGTTATAATCGTGCACTGGACGGCGCGTATCATATAAACTGTTTAAAGGCAGGCGATGGGCGATGACAATGACATTGCTGCTTCAATATCCGTGTCACTAGTTCCCCCACGCCGTAATTTTCTCCCATGTTGGCCGCTTCGTTGCCATGAAACAACGCTTCGAAGAGAAGCGGAATTCAGACGTCACTTGCGTATACTAAACGTTGTATGGTATGAGGTTGATGTTCCTGCTCAACGAAGGCAATGTTTTTTTAGAAGGCGTTCACCGCACAACTATTCTGTTTATTTCTGCGTATTAAACAAACAAACAATACATTTTCAATATAGAATTATACCTAAATTATAAAATTTATATAAAATTAAAAATAATTTTAAATTGCACAACCAAATGGAAATTTTAGGTGAAGCAGTGCGTCACTTGTGTCACCTGACTAGCCACCACTGGCCCTTTGAATAACTTACAAGTATTTGAGAAAAAAGGTGAACCTGATTAGAAAAATGTTTGACGTACAATTGTGATACNCAATATAGAATTATACCTAAATTATAAAATTTATATAAAATTAAAAATAATTTTAAATTGCACAACTAAACGGAAATTTTAGGTGAAACGGTGCTTTACCTGACGAGCCGCCACTGACTATATATAATCTTTTAATTGTTGTATCGCCAAGTTACATTTTGGCAAGGCTATATCTCAGTAAATGCTGACTTTTGAATAACGGTAAGTTGGTCTAAATCATAAAAAAAATACTTAGTTACTTTGGCAAAGACATGAAGTTTAATTTCACTAAAACTGCTGTACTAATTGTAGAAAAATAAAATCTATTTTTCTCAGGAACTTTGCATTTATCAACTGCAACAAGTATACATATTTTTTTTTATAGTAAATAAAACAGCATTTCAGAAGGCACTTGTGTTTTCTCAAAATCTATATTAGCAAAAAATTTTTCAAAAAACTAACTTTAAGGTGTTCTACATTTTAGGTAGAAAATAAGCTTATATGTATTCAAATTTGGCTTCCCAAAAAACTTTCCTGTACCAAATTTCATTGAAATATTTTAAAAAGCAATAGTTATATTAAAAAATATATTTGGAGACCCGTAACTTTTTAAGGAAGTAAAATTGTAATTGTAATTTAATCTATATAGGTTTAGAACTTATAACTATAACTGGGGAATTTTTAGACGCCTTGTATTTGTTATAGTAACCAGAAACTACCGAAGTCAGCTGATATATTGTAGTATATATATATTGGAAACTCTTAAATTCCAGTGTGGAACTGGCAAAAATAAACTAAGAATATACGAATTTGTAAGGACAATGCACACATGCTATTAATACATAGATATAAATATGTATATTTATGTTAATGCAATGTTTCTTACAATTTCAAACAAATTTTTATACGAATTTGCATCCAGTTCAACCACCTCTTCAAATCTGTGATTTAAGTGCTCCATTTCTTGGCAAAATACAGGATTTTTGGAAAATAGTATATAGTCCAAGAAAAAAAATAAAATAAAATAATCCTGTTTTCTTTTATTAACATACTAAAATGATCAAACTTCTTTTTTATTAAATTGTAAGATGCTAAAATTCCGAAATTTAAACAGAATATATCTTAAAACATTAAATGTTTCACTTTAATTATATTCGTCCTAGGGTATGATGCCCCCTCCCATGCCAATGATGGTGACACCTCCCACAGCCCCGACACACCCCGTTCTAGACGAACTTAAGGGTAAAAACAACTACAATCCTTCAGAGTTCGAATTGACGGCTCCCAATGCTAGATTCTTCGTTATTAAGTCTTACTCGGAAGATGACATTCATCGAAGCATTAAGTACGAAATTTGGTGCAGCACAGAGCACGGGAACAAGAGACTTGATCAGGCTTACAGAGAGCGGGAGGGCAACGGGCCCATCTATTTGTTTTTTTCTGTGAATGGTTCAGGACATTTTTGTGGAATGGCACAGATGGTGTCCGCGGTTGATTATAATGCGAATAGTTCTGTGTGGTCGCAAGACAAGTGGAAAGGACAATTTAAGGTACACAACTATAATAATATATTTAATAGAATTGTTTAATAATTTTTATTTTATTTAGGTGCGATGGATATATGTGAAGGATGTACCCAACGTGCAGCTCCGTCACATTCGTTTGGAGAATAACGATAATAAACCAGTAACGAACTCTAGAGATACGCAGGAGGTGCCGCATGCTAAGGGTCTCCAGGTACTTCGAATAATGCACTCTTATCGTCACTCAACATCTATTTTCGATGATTTTGTGCATTACGAGAAACGGCAGGAAGAAGAAGATAGCCGTAAACAACCAGTGGTGAAAGATTCAGGTAATCACGAAGGGGGTGGACGGGAGCACAGGGAGAGGGGAGATCATCGAGGAGGCAGAAACCACGACCGCGATGGAGATAGGGATAATCATCGATCTGGTGGCCATAGAAGCAATGATCACCATGGTGGACATCATAAGGTAAGTTTTTCACTTAAAATAATAACGGTTATGCAAGATATAACTTTAAATGGGTGTCTTATTTATATGGATGTTACCTTTGACCTTTAGAAACACATACTTTATTTTAAACGCGGAACAAAAAGATAAAAAAATTTCTTGAATGCATAACTATACAAACATCCCTCTCCAAAGCCCATCTTTAGATTCGCCCCTGGTTTATTTCCTCCAGTTCTGGAATGAAAACAATTTTTATATATTTTTTTTTTTTATTTTGTAATACCTTGACTTTGGCTAGTGCAACTTCAATCAATTTCCTACTCACATCTCATCTTTCTACGTTCGTATATATGTTTTTCATATGTCACAAAAATTTAACAAAACACGCAACAACACACCAAATTAAAAAACTAATACTTCAAGAAAGTCACAGAATTAGCATCCGTGTTACAAACACCTTTTAAACGGATGAATGCGGTGACCTATTTGACAATTTTTTTTTAGCCGAATGTTGGCCGTTTATTTTTTGCCTACCACTGTCATATTACATGAGGTGGATTGTTGACCGAAACTAGGTCAGTGTCAGGTCATTGACATTGTGATTCACGAACTAAGCAAAGTGCTGTAACACTAGTAACAAGTTCCTTTTATTAAAAACTTGAAATTATTTTAAAAAATACTATACAAATTAAAATTTTATTATGTACAATTTATAAAACAGCAAAAGTATTATTTTAAAATATTAATTAGTTTTACTTACAAATAGTAACGTATGCCTTTCCACGTACCAATATTGGTTAACATTTGCATGAACCATGTGAAATATATTGATTTTAAAACACCAGAATGTTCAGTTTTTCGTCCAGATTGATATTAAGAAAAATTACGATTTTAAAATAACGTCAAAGTTATACAAAATTAATCTGTTTTATAAAATTAGATTCCATTGCAGTTTTGTTCTCTGCCATTCTGTTCGTTTCATGCAGTTGGTTTAAAAAGGTAAAACGGGCAACACTGATAAACACGCACATAAAACCTAATTTATGAGCTACCCATTGGCATTGTAAACAAGAGTTTAACTGCAGTTAAAAAATGAATAATAACACGACTATTTCATTTAAAAATATGTATATTTCAGACTAGTGTTTTGGGGAACACTATTACCCCTAAAAACTGCATATACAATGTGACAGAGGAAAATGAGTAGATTTTGAGGAATTTTTTAAACTAAGGAATATTCATTACATTCATCGGACTGTAGGTGTTCTTTATAGCCAAGTATAAAAAAAAAATTATTCATCATCAAAATGGGGGAAGCTGTGGTAGAAAGTCACAGCAAGGTTGCAGCACCACTTCCAAAACGGTGTACAGCCTAGCTCCCCATTAAATTTGATCTGCAGCAAAATACAAACATTTTTTTATTTAAAGTGTGTATTTTACTATACAAATTTAAAAAAACCGCATGCGTTTAAAGAAAAAACCGAATTTTCATGCAAAATTTCTGCAGAATTTGTATAAAAAAAAAGTTTATTTCAAAAATTTTCAAAATCAATTTCCATCATATCGTCCCTATTATCACGTAGAGGCGTATGTGTATATCCATTTCTTGGATTATACGCCCCTACGTGATAAGAGGGACGATATAGAAGGTAATAATGTTATCAATATTTCTACCAAGGGGCAACTCAATCGGTTTAATAGTTTTTGCGTAATCATGTACACCAGTTTCAGAAATGTAGTTTCTAGAAAAACGGGAAATCCCTCTTCCTATTCTATCCTTTGCAGATGGAGTCATTCGACAAACGAGCGTCACTATGGACGAAGTGGTAATTATAAACTGTAAACAATCTTGGGCGTCTATTTCCCGAAACTAGTCTAAAAGTGTGCTCCTGCAGCATGCACAACGTTTACGGACTATAACCTCTGAAGTTTTTCAAACTTTAAGATTATATTCTTCACATATAGTTCTATCGTTTAAGAATATAAAAAAATAATCGATTAATATCTTCATGGAAAATAAATTATGCTTTTATTATTATTATTTATTTTTATTACATTATTATTTAAGCAGTAAATTGTCTCTATTTCTGACACATGTCAGATATGATGGCTTTGACCACCATGCCTCCTAACTACGGATGGCTAAAGCTCTCCTAAAACTGTATTATATCGAATAGTAGAATGAATTATCTTGTAATACCTATGTGTCTAATGATAACAACAGTGGCGGCTCGTCAGGTGACGCAAGTGATGCACCGCTTCGCCTAAAATTTACGTTTGGTTGTACAATTTAAAATTATTGTTAACTAGCAACCCGCCCCGGCTTTGCACGGGCAAATATAAAATAGCCTATGTTACTCCAAGGAGATGTAGCTTTCGGTGAAATTAGTTGAGTAGTTTTAGAGTTAAATCGTACCAAACAAAAAATCAATCATCTTTCATCTAATGCAACCCTAATATTAATTTTAAAATAATTCACGATATATCTATATACCTAAAGACAACGAACGAACTCAAAACTGAAAATGCAAAACCTTTAAATTTAAAACAATATAGGTAACTACCAACAATGTGAAAACAAAACGAATTAAATTAAAGTACCTATGTTCAGGACTATCAATTTTAATTAATAAGTAAGTAGTTAGGTATCTAACTACCTAAAGAAAACAAACACGAAACAAAAATGCAACTATGAAGTTTTAAATGATTCACAATAAGAAAAAAACAAACAAATTATTAAAACTCAATGAAATAAAAGTATGTTTGCAAGTATCTATGTATGTTCCGACTACCTAAAGGCAACAAATACAAAACAAAACTGTGACCTTAAAATATCCAACGCAATTATAACTTTCCAACAACACCCAGAAAGAAAACACAGTCATCAGTCGTCACCTCCATTCGCTCCAAGTCAGTTTATTAAAGGATCACGCGCGCATTATCGTTCGGCTTATTAGCTAAACAAGCAAGACGGTGCGGGGGGGAGGGTCGGCGATCGCATCAAGTGAAGCGAGGCGCTTGAATTTTATTCTCGCGTCCGTAATTTCTTTGCGATTACTCCTAAGATATTCATTTAAATTATATGGTGTAAAAGAGTAAAATAATATGCATGAAATGCTTATGGCCTGTAACTTATTTAAAATGATAAGGATTAATACCGTATTTGTGTAAATAGCTTTTACTATCAGATAATCTTCAGACCAAAATATACTAATTAGCTCAACATAGTCTAAGGTTGTTGCATTTGTGAGTGAACCAATTATTCTGATCAAATTTGGCATGAGGTGCAATATTATAACCTATTAGCACACAAAATTTCATATTAGTATGCAGCTACAGTAGTGGTGGGCAAGATCTGCATCATACGTATAAGGGATCTCTAGTGGGAATCGATTCATGCAGATCCCAATGCAAAAATTATTTCATATGTTTCGTATCACCGCATCAACGTGAGTTGAGACTGAAGTGAAGTGAATCGTATCAACTAATTCTCGCATCCGATACAGGAATGAGTAAATGGGAGGCGCACGCATACTGGGAATCAGTTCATATACGTATACCGGTATAAGAATAATTTTGTATGTTCGCATCACCGCATCAATGCGAATTGGGAATGAATCGGTCTCAACTGATTCTCGTGTCCGATACAGGTCGATGAGATACCATGCATTAGAAACAGTTTAGTGCATATGGAACTAAATATTGAAATGATTTATATGAAATTATGGAGTCAAACAAACTTATAATGTAAAAGTAATTGTCAGAGTGATCTGTATTTCATATTGTCGAGAGTGATGTGTATTTCATATTTAAATGTTGAATCCTTTGACCAAAAATAAAATTAAATATTAATTAATTTCACTTGAAAATAATTTGATGCTTCTCAACTTGGGTTCAAATATATTATTGCTTCGTTTCTGCCTCGCCTTAAATTAATTTATAAATTAATAAATAAAACACAAAAAGCAAGCTTTGACTGCTGCAGTATTTTATAAAAAGAGAATTTGAAACAAGTAATGCGATAGAGAGTGTGATACGAGATGCAATATATCAAACGGGAATGAATGAGCGACAAGCGCACACATCTACAAAATTTATAAGTACAAACTGTAATTGTACATCCACACTGAATACGATTCCCTGATGCGGATCTTTATGTTGATACATTTTGCATCATGCGGATCATTAAAAAGATCCGTATTGCCCATCTCTAAGCTACAGTGATGTACTGTTATAACTAGACTCCATCTTATATTAAAAAATGTCACCACTACAGGTAATTTTAGACATTTAGGAAAAGGCGGAATATTTTAAAAATATTTGCCACTTGTTAATTATGAAATTTAATAATTTACAACAAAACAAGATTTGTCTTAGAGAAAATTAAGGGAATTTTTTAGTAATAAATTGGTGGTATAATTTGACAAAACTATTAATTTTAGCCAGTTGTGTAATACTTTTTGTTTTGAAAAGGGACTATGATAATAATCACTGAAACTACATATTAATCTGTAATTGTATAATTAGTTCATTAGTTAAAGAAAAAAATATTGTCTTTAATTTCAACTTAACACTAACTTGCAAATGAAACAATTTTGGAATAATGTATGTTTACCTAATTAGCGAATTTGGCTACATTATCTGGTAGAAATATTTCCTAAATATTTCCAAAACTTGAAAATTACACAGCTGCACAAAAAGAAAGTCCAAACCCAAGAGACCCACATATCATTTCCAAAGGAATTCGATGCACTGAACACGATCCTGTAGTCAAAATTCATGACTTATCGATGAATTTCGAAGAGAAGTAAAATTTTTGGGTAAAAAGGGCCAAATATGGGTCAAAACAAATTTTTTCATTGATGAAATTTACCTCAGACTTCGATATTTCTCAGAAAAAAATTTTCCAAAATTAGTGGTTTTTTACATAACTGAAAATTAAAAATGTAAGTACTAAGAACTTCATAAGAAAAATAAGAACTTACCACTTTTACCTCCAACGTCAAACTCAAAAATTCCAAAATTATTGAGAGTGATAAAGAAAGATTTATTATTCATTATCGTAATTTAAAACAAGGTACAGCTTTAGGATTAAAAGTTGAAAAAATTCATTGAATTTTAAAATTTAGGCAAAGTTGTTGGATGAAAATATATTGATTTAAATACAGAATGAAGAAAATGAAGCAAAAATTTTTATAAATTGATGAACAATGCTGTTTTTAGAGAAACCGTGGAAAATGTTAGAAAATATAAAGACGTAAGTTAGTCACTAGATACTACTCAGGTAGATATGATGCAAAGCATTATATTTTAAAGACAAATTTCCACACTTGTACAATTTTTGATAAGCATAGGGTCATAATTGATATGAAACTATTAAACATTACATTTAATAAACCTATATATCTAGGATTTAGTGTATTAGATATTTCGAAAACAATTGTGCATTGCTTTTATTACAATTACATTAAAAACAAATTTAATGATGATGATGATATAATTTCTTTGTTGACGACATATATAAACATATTAAAGATGATATTAATAGTAGTAGTAATTACTTTTTTAATTTTCACTTATGTAAATTTTAAATTTTCTGAGAAATATTGAGGTCAGAGGTAAATTTTACAAATATTGAGCGCCTCAAAATACTATGAAAATGATATATTTAGACAAAATTTGGGAAAAAAACAGTTTTTGGCCGGTTTTTACCCATTTAGTGGATTTTCTGAGAAATATCGAAGTAGGTAAATTTTACTAATGGCATCGTGTTGAGCATCTCAAAATAATATGAAAACTATATATTTGGACAAAATTTAGGAAAAAATCAGTTTGACCCATATTTGGGAGTTTTTACCCAAAAATTTCACTTTTCTCCAAAATTCATTGACAAGTCATGAATTTTGACTACAGGATCTGTTCAGCGCATTGAACTCCATTGGAAATGATATGTGCATCTCTTGGATTTGTAGTTTTTTTGTGTGGCTGTGTTATTTATTACATCCTTAAAATACTTTTACAATTTTATATTTTAGAGTAAGGTTGTTTCATTTTTTTATAATTCCCATCAAAAAATTGTTTTAAAAAAAAGTGCATATTACTATTTTTCTAGCAACTGTAAACAATCAATTCTATGACATCGATAGACAAACAATTCCAGCTTATAATTTATCAGTAGAGTGAAATATTTGCATTTGTTTTATTGCTAGTACATATAAATATAATGTAATTCTAACCTGATAAACAAATAAGTAATTATATTTATTCATTTTAATTTATAGATATTTTATATTTAAATGTTGGAGATGTTTCATTTAGTATTCTCTAGCCAGATATGTTGAAAACTTAGAGATACCAAAATTCTTTGAAAAATTTTGTGTAGTGCATACAAATGAATTGTGAAAACAAATCACATTAACCTTTATAGCGGTGTAGATAACATAGAAATCCAATAAAATTTCCCAAGGCAGAAACTTTTGAAAAATGCTCCATATGAAAAACTATTTTAAGTTTTAAGCAGTGGCAATTAAGTACAAAGTATCGAAAAAAAAAAAACAAATATGCAGTGAAAATTGGTTATAACGACATTGCTGTATACGACATATTGGATATAACGACAGAATTTGGAAGTCCCGATTTATTCCTATAGAAATACCATATTAAAAATATTGTTTACTATGACACCATTTACAATAACATTTCGGATTTAGCGACACGTTTGTATATACATTTATCATCGAATCTATCGGTTATAACGACCAATACGGCCTTAAAACCAATGTACTGCTCTTCCACCTGCCCCGCCGGCATCCACGCTTTTGACACCAGTTAGTACGTTTGGGATAAATTACACATACAGTTATATGTATTAATTACAACCTTCTATTACGATGTCGAAGAGAAAAGTGTTTAATAAAGAAGAAAAGTCACATATAATATAGAGATTAAAAAACGGAGAAAATAATGCAAGCAAGCAAAAGAATGTGACGTGTCACACTATAATTTCAACAATTTGGAAGGATAGAAATAAAATAGTCTTTACTCGAAAACAATTAATTGAAAATGAAGGGGGCGAGATCTATTCAACACAAAGCAATCCATGTACATACTTAAAGATTTGTATTGTAAACTTCTCATTTTTTTCTATAAAAATTTTAAAGAAATATATGCAATTGCTTATTATGTTTATCGGTTATAACAACCGTAAACAAACGGTCCCTTGAAGGTCGTTATAACCGATTTTCACTGTAATTGCTTAATTTTATTTTAAATACTATTGAAATATAGGGAAAATGTGCTCAGCATTATTTTTTATAGTGAAAATCTTATAGTTTATCATTAGTATATTTCTCGCACCATTGATTTTTCAGTAGCAAATGTTGCTCTCTTTACAATCTAATTTAAACTTTTACAATCTAAGAAACACACAAGAAACAATATGTAGATAACAAAATTTTACACCACACGTAAACAAATTATGTTTAAGTAATAAGAAAAAAAAATCGGTGTTTTGGTTATGTGGGAACTAAACAGAGACCAAACTGCATAGCACAGAATTTGTAGGAAAAGACCCTGTTAACAGAGAAATTTTATGAAAAGTGCTTTTATATTATTATAATAATATAAGGAGAAATTTAAAAAACAATCATTTTAAATTTGATCTGACTCGATTATACAGGGTGTCCTGTTCATGTTTCAAAAAAAACTTGCCTATAAGTTCCTCATGGGAATATATTGGGGGGTAGTTCATGTGACGTTTTTTTCTAAGACGCCCTGTTTTCAAGATACAGTGTGTTGAAGTTGTTACTTTCCAAATGGCTTTCCTTAGTTATATTTAAATCGGCTAAAGATAAAAATGCCAAAATTTGTACATGAGTAAACATCAACTGCGTTAAAAATAATGTGCAAACGGTTTCTTTCTGAATAGCAGTGACGCCGATATAGGTAATTGGAGGGGTACAATTGAAAAAAAAATGTTAAAAGTCAAAATTTATTACATTTCTAAACGGTTCTGTAAACTCTAAGGCATACTACAAAAAAAGGTATACTTGTCGAAATTCGATAGCATGTACCAGAAGCAAATGGGGGGACCATTTCAGCATCTACTGTAGTATTTAGAGTTTTGCTCATTTATTTAATTGTGCAGCTGTTTTGTTCTGTTTGTCTCCGAATTTGTTTCCTAATATTTTTCTGTTCTTATCACTTTTTTTAAGCATTCATGTCCATCAACAATTCAGTCCATTCAACAATTGTTTATTTTAGTAGTGGTAGTGGTTGTTTACAAAATCTAAAATAAGTTATTAATATATAATTAATTACCATAATTTGTATATTTTTATTTACTTTTTTAAATGTTATTTTACAAGCTTAAACTTAAAATAAATTATTTTTACAATTTAACTGTTTTATGTGATATGTAAGAAATTCAGTCCATTCAACAATTGTTTATTTTAGTAGTGGTAGTGGTTGTTTACAAAATCTAAAATAAGTTATTAATAGATAATTAATTACCATAATTTGTATATTTTTATTTACTTTTTTAAATGTTATTTTACAAGCTTAAACTTAAAATAAATTATTTTTACAATTTAACTGTTTTATGTGATATGTAAGAAATTTAAATTATATTCTTAAATGCAAAGACTTTCGGAAGCTAAATGCCTTCAGCTCATTCAATGGTAACTTCAATGTACATTCAGTACAATACATTCAATGCACTTGTGCTGCTTTATGTGAGCATAAAAATGCAACTTCATTTTCTTGAAAATTTACATGCTACTGAAATTCGACAAGTATACCTTTTTTTTGTAGTATGCTTTAATGTTTACAAAACCGTTTAGAAATGTAACAAATTTAGACTTTTAACATTTTTTTTTCGATTGTACCCCTCCAATTACCTGTATCGGTGTCACTGCTTTTCAGAAAGAAACCATTTACACATTATTCTTAACACACAATAATTGTTGTTTACTCGTGTTCAAATTTTGACATTTTTATCTGTAGCCGATTTAAAGATAATTAAGGAAAACCATTTGGAAAATAACAACTTCAACACACTGTATCTCAGAAAAAGTGGGAGTCTTGGTGCAAGTTCCCATGAGGAACTTGCACACAAGTTTTTTTTAAACATGAACGGGACACCCTGTATATTCTGTTTTGAATATTGAAAGAGATCAGAAAATCCTTCAAATTAAAAAAGTATGTATATATAAAATTAATTTAAATTGACTTAGATTGGCAAGTTAAACAGATCTTGAAAAAGCCTTTCTCTAATTCTGATTACTATGAATATTGCTTGTTATTGCTAATATCTTTGTAATAAAAATTTGTTCTAATTATATTTTTCCTTTTGTTTCAGGATAAAGGTGACAACAATAGAGGACGTGGTGGAAGAGGCGGTCGTAATTAAACGTAAAAAGTTCTTTTAAAAATAAACGCATTGTTATGGCCGCTGTTTACTGTAGTGTTATCTATTACTAGCTTGTTATTGGTATATTTCACATAGACGTACAGATTCATACTTGATCCGTATCCTTAATTTGCATGTTTTAGAAATCAATCGATAGACGACCCATTAGTTTTTTACTACATAATTTTCTTTTCTGTAATTATTTGCTATAATCAAGTTATTTTCCATAATATCCGGTCAAACTGTCTGGTGTAGAGACCTCTCTATGTGGCTAAAATTTCCAGTTATTTTGTACGTGTGGGTTTCCTTAAACTCTTAATAATGATTTAAACTAAAGGTATATGGATAATATAGTAAACTAGTTGTAAAATAACAAACTTAGTAGCTCACTCTTCGGATCGGGCTTAATGCAATCAAAAATTTAAAAAATAATAGTGCAGTGTTTTCGTTTGCTGGAGTGATGGACTTCCTAATAAATTAAAATGTAATATAAATAGATGGACAATGTGACATAGTTGAATTTAAAATAAAGTGTTGATTTTCTGGACTAATTTAATCTACAGTTGCTGAGGATTGTGATGAACGACGCGGACTGTGGACAGAACAGAGAACATCTCCGGGCAACACAACTGAACTTGAGGATGTGAAAGTGATCACAACACAATCTTAGAACTATATAACAAATTGGCTATATTTAGTTGTTGAACACTGACAAGTTTGTTTGTATTTGTTACAGTTTACTAATGTTTTTCAATTTTCTAATCTTGTAGGAGATGAATATGAACTGTGTGCACATTATAAAGAGTTTGTTGAGAATAAATAGTTTAACATAAGACCTACCAAATTATACATGCTATGTTCCTATTATTATGTTCGTTACATACTTAGGCAAATGTTTATCGCGCAAATAAACTGTGAAAAATATATCGGAATATGGCCTAAGGATATGAACAAGTAATTCTTAGTTTTATAAGAACTACGATTTTTGATTGAATGGACTCTTTTATTATTAAGCTTAAAATATATTGTATAAAATTTTCTCTTCTATAAAACGTGTAGCAGCTAATAAAATTCAAAAAACATTCTTAAAATTATCATTAATCATGTTTATACCGAGTAAGGAACAGGAATTTGGCCTTTTAATTATCCAAAATTCACAGAAAAATTCCCTGATTTTCAGTTCTGTATTGAAAAAGTTAAATGTAATGAATAAAATGTGTTTCGAAATTTTGATTTTCATTTAGTCAGTAACGTTTTCTTATTCAATTTTGGTATATATTAATTTAAAATATGTTCTACTGTATAAATAAAGTTGGTCAAAAATTGATTTAACCATTTTTATTAAAAAAATGTAGGTAAATGAAAGTAATACAGAAAAATATTATGTATCATAATGCTATTAAGTACCGATAAAGAAATTTCATATACATACAATTGTAATTTGTTTATAATTTTTTTGCAGTTTATTTGTACATTGAAAACCATTGTAAATATAATACCAATTTGTACAAAAATGTATATTCAGAAAAATGTTTTATTTAATGTAGGTGCTACTTTATTCCCGTACGAGAATTTCTTTTATATATTTTTTATATTTAGAAACAAAAAGGCTGAGAAAGATTGTAGAGAAAATTTGTAAGATAAAAATTGTATGTATCTGATCTATATAGTTGTAACATAATTTGAACATAGCGTGTTATCATTTTGATGTCTATTTGTACACTGTGCCTAATATGTTAGACTGATGCACCCACAAAAGTGCATTGTTGATTACACCGATTCAAATGTGTGATCCGAACAGTGGGCATCTTCTGTTGATAGCTATATCAATAAAGCATCAATAATATTATGATAACTAAACATTTATTTCACTTTACCTAAAAATTGCTTTATTTAAATAAAATCCTTGAAATACGGATATCCCAGAAATAAATGCCGAAATTTTTACCATGCATTTAAATTAGTCTGGAGACAACCAAATTCACTTTGCTTCAAGGCTCCCTAGATGAACATTTCTTATGTGCCGTAGGCCAGAGATAAGTTTAATGGGATCTATTTCACGATTTAGGTTTTTTGTATGTTTTACATACAGAAAAAACTAACAACCAGTTTAAATTTATTTTATTAAAAAGCAGTGGCGGCTCATGACTTTCATACCAGGGAGGGCGGAAAAATTTAGGTCTGAAGTATTGAAAAAAAATAATGGGGTAGTTTTAAGTACTATTGAAATGTAGAGCAAATGGGCTCAACATTATTTTTTTATAGTGAGTCCATTCTACTTTTGTCCGAAATAAACTTTTCAATGAAGTTTGGTATATCTCGCACCATTGATTTCTCAATAGATAGCATTACAAGTGCTGGTAGTTTGTCTACATTCTAATTTAAACTTTCACAATCTTTTAAAAAACGAGAAATAATGCTTAGTATCAAAATTTACACCACATATAAAAAACATGTTCAATAAGAAAAAAAAGCCGCTATTTGATTATGGGCGGACTAAACAGAGACCCAAACTGCATAGTAAACACACGCTACTCCTGCTACTTTCACAGCTGTGCAACGGCAACCATGACCACCACTGTAAACACTACAGGTTTAGGAACCCACCCCACGCATTCGGTGTTTTTTAAATGAATTTTGCAAGTAGAGTTAAATTTACTGCACTGCATATTACAATTTCTCATTTAATGTGTTTCATAAGATTAATCTAATTATACAGGGTGGTCCGTAAGTAATGGTCCATAGAGACATACTAGATTTTTTACTTCAAAATATTACGATTGGAGCCAATATGCCTTAATAAAATGTTGATAACAAAAAAGATACAGGGTGTCAAAGTTGGAAATTAAAAATTGAATTTTCGTAATAATTATATTTTTGAGTGTATGAACGTGAAAATTTAAGGGTAGATGTTTTTGTATACGAGAAATCATAATTTGTTATCTATTTCGATGTATCTTCTAGAGGGCGCCACATACGCCGTGTTTATGACGTAAATACGAGCATAATTTTTTTATCCACAACGTTAACGCTTCTTTTTTTTAAAAATCTTAAACCTACATTATTTTCGTGAAAAAATGGTATACTTGTCATTAGCTCTAGAAATTGTCCGTTTTCAAGAAAAACGCATTTCAACAATCTGCTGCATGTTTCATTACAGGAAATTTTATCGTAGTGTGCGCTAATGAAAACATTAATTTTGACAATTAAACATTATCCCTTTGTACACATTAAAATACAAATTATCAAGTTGATAAATTTTATTTACAAAACCAGTTAAAGGAGAAATTTAATTAAACAAAACTATGATTTTATCAAGCGTTTAACAAGTAAAAAACTGAATATGTACCTAAGGAAAAATAGGAAATGTTTCAAAGTAAATTTTCAATATGTCCACCATTCACCTCGATGCACTTGTCCATACGATTTATGAAAGATCGTCTAATATTAAATAATACCATTGGATCAAAAAAAGTTGAGGCATTACTAATTTCTTGCCAAAGTTGGACGCGAGTATTTATAGTGTTTTTATAAACAATTTCCTTCATTGTGCCCCATACACCAAAATCTAAAGGGTTGAAGTCTGGACTACGTGGCGGCCAAGGAAATATACTACCACGGCCAATCCAACGTTCAGGAAAGTGTTGGTTTAGATATGTTCTTACTTGATGAGTAAAATGTGGCGGAGCGCCATCTTGCATGAACCACATATTTTGCCTCAAATTCAGTGGTAACGCATCCAATAGATCAACAAAGCTATTTTCTAAAAAATTTAAATAACTTGTACCATTTAAATTTCCTGGCAACTCATATGGACCTAGAAAATGGTTTCCAATGATCCCACACCAAACATTAATCTTAAATTCATGTTGAAAGTGCCGTTCTCGAGTTACATGAGGATTTTGAACTTCCCAACAATGCTTATTTCTTAAATTGAAAATACCTCGGCGAGTAAATGTCGCTTCATCTGTAAACAATATTCTGTTGACAAATGTATAGTCAGTATTCTGCTTGTTCCGAATATCACTTGCAAATTGATATCTTGAAGGAAGATCGACAGGTAATAAATTTTGAACTGGTGTAAAATGATATGGATGATATTTTTCTTCATGTAATGTCTTTAAAATTGATGTTTTATTAATTCCCGTGGCTGCAGCTAATCGTCTTGAACTAGTTTGTGGATCATCTGCAATGCGAATTAGTATTTCGTCTTCCTGGTCAGGCGTAATCATTTTTGGTCGACCTAAATTATCACGTTTAGGACGAAATGAACCACTTTCGCCTAAGTTTCTGAATAGATTTTGAAACAGTCGTTTACCAGGTTGCAATCTGTTTGGAAATCTTCGGCAATATTCACGTTGCGCAGCACGTCCATTGAAATTTTGTTGACAATAAACAACCGTCATATCTCTCATTTCCAAATTCGAGAAATTATTATGTCTCGGCATAATTCGTTATTTTCTTTTAAATACTTAATTGATTTTTACCAAAAATTAATAAATACAATTTGAAATAATTGCTAACTGTCACAATGATTTTTTCTAATTGTCAAAACTGTCTTGGCATTGTCGCACACTACGATAAAATTTCCTGTAATGAAACATGCAGCAGATTGTTGAAATGCGTTTTTCTTGAAAACGGACAATTTCTAGAGCTAATGACAAGTATACCATTTTTTCACGAAAATAATGTAGGTTTAAGATTTTTAAAAAAAAGAAGCGTTAACGTTGTGGATAAAAAAATTATGCTCGTATTTACGTCATAAACACGGCGTATGTGGCGCCCTCTAGAAGATACATCGAAATAGATAACAAATTATGATTTCTCGTATACAGAAACATCTACCCCTAAATTTTCACGTTCATACACTCAAAAATATTATAATTATTACGAAAATTCAATTTTTAATTTCCAACTTTGACACCCTGTATATTTTGCATTATCAACATATTATTAAGGCATGCTGGCTCCAATCGTAATATTTTGAAGTAAAAAATCTAGTAAGTCTCTATGGACCATTACTTACGGACCACCCTGTATAGATCAGGATTTCCCAACCTGGGGTCCGCGGGCCTATCCCCGAGGGTACACAGCATAATGACACGGCTTAGAGTTTTACAGTAACGTGCAGTGAAAAAAGTATTTACAGACAACAGAAATACCTACCGATTTTCTTACAAAGAGCTTGTGTTCCGTGAAACATTATAGTTTTCTAGAGAAATTGGGTATCGTAAATGTATCTGGACAGTAGGGCCTGACCATTTTATAGATATAGAAGCAAGTGTTTATAACCATCCATTTACCCTTTGCTTGTCCAATAAAAATTAGTCTGCATTGAGAAATCAACAAGAGCATCTCATTTCATCAATATGATCAGTCAATTGTTTCGCAGGTTATAATATGCTCACGTGTAATTTGATTCTACGAATGTATAGTCTTTCCGATACCAATTGAAAAACCAAGAGGTTGACAGTATGTACCAGGTTCGGTCGCCGACGCAACAACTTGACATTAAAATATTTGAAAAACTTGTTCCCATATTTATTTAGCCATGCCCATATACAGGTCTGGTCGAACTAAATGTGGAGGTGGTAGAAATGTATACGCCCAGTTGAAGAACCTTCAGGTTGACTCTCTAGACAAAAGCAAAAGTTTTGTCTAATTATTATTATTTATTTCATTTCAAAAACCCTAATTTCTTTAAATTTTTACCTGCCCTGGAGCATAATTGAAAATGCTTAAAAATGACTGCAGTTCTATTTTTCAAAATAACCATACCAAATATATCGTTGGAAAGCATAAAAAAGACATTTCTTTCTAGCTCATAACTATGGTTTACATTTAAAAAACTTGAAGTTTATGACTTCAAAACGAAAGTGCACACAAACAATTTGATCACACTGTCTTATTAACACTGCAAAACCTGAAACTTTGTAATTAAAAATTTGAATGTAATGAAATGCTTAAATCCGTTTTTCTCGGAAACGGAGCATTTTATCCAAAGAAATAAAGAGTACCTTTTTTGGAGAGGAATATGTTGGCATCTGAATTTGAAGATTTCGGCAAGCAAAAAAATTGTTTCGAATTTCAGCCGATGACCCCCCCCAATTGAGACGTCCCTGACTAAACTTTTTAAAAATTTTATGTTCTATTTCAACTTTTAATGAGCGTTCATGGTGTCAAAATTCCTAATTTTTCAACCTGTTTTGGAAATATTTAAAAGAATTGAATTCTTTGAGGCCCCATTTAGCACCCTTATGAACCATTTCTCGACCCATGTTTATATGAAAAAATATTCTTATTTTTGGCAATGGAATTAAGTAGTAAATTATTGGACATTAATTATGGGACACCCTGTATAGGGTGAAAGAAAATATAGTTAACAATCTTATAAAACCTGTTGTTAAAAATCCTAAAAGTGACGAAGATGAGAATGAAAAAATGAAAAATATTTCTGAAAATGTAGTCACCTCCCCTTCTGGAATTTAATTACAAATAAACTGTTTTTCATTATATACCTATATAATTATCTGCATTATTAGTTGTAGATTTATTGTGTATATTATTTCGCTAATATATAGTCTTTCCGATATCAATTGAAGGACTAAGTCGTTGGCGTTATGCACCAGGTTCGGTCAGGACATAAATAATTAAAATATGTTGTTGGTCAAATAAACATATAATATAAATTTTCTACACATATACAAATTATTATAATTTTTTATCATTAGCAGAAAACTTTTTTAGGGACGCCTATGAAACTCATTAAATTTGATTGCTTGGTTTTTTTACATGTCTCAACTCAACTTTCTTAATAATGAGGAGCTTACTATTCTTATCAAGTATACTTTTTTAAAGTAAGCTTAAAAATTGCTATCAATAGAAATTTCAACTCTGGCACACTCTTAAGTTTATTCCACCTGCTGCACTATGTACGTCCTGTTGGTAGCTACAGTACCTGTCTCTATATTCACTTTTAATGCATTGTGATTAATTGTGTTGAAAGTAGTTTTTTATCTGCTACAGACTTGGGAGATTTGTATCAAGAGACGGTATCGCAATACCATATCATGAGGCTTATCTCACTGTCCCAAGGACTACGTCATATGGTTTGATGTCTCAATATAGATCTTGGCATTTCATCGACGACTGAATACATTTCCTTTTCCATTAACCACTTTTTGCATCAAAATTTTCTCCTTTTCTTCTTAATTAAACAAATACCAATAATAACACTCATGGTATAGTCGTTATGATACCAGTAGGAACTGCATAAACACATTTAACTCATAAACTCTACGGAATCCATAGGCGTCCAGAAAAATTTTGTCCCGTCTAGTTTAGAAATACTATATTCCTATTTAGTTGACAATAATCTCGAATTTTTTATAAATAATCTTCCCGGAGTGCAACTATACGTCATGATTCCATAATTACCATACGATTGTCAAGTTTTTTATGTTTAAAATCGCATTGTAATAAAACATGTAAAGTATCTAAAGATTTATAATTATAATCAGAGGATAATCGCTTAATTTATCTCGAATCATGTTTAAAGTAGGAACTTTATTTTCTTTATACATATAAATTGTGGGCCGTATTACATCTCTGGTAAAATCGTCAATATTCTGTAATTTTGTTTTTCCGTTTCTTCTTTGTACCATGATTAATGTTTCCTTCTTTACGCGATAAATTGTCGTTTTTGATATCTTAGTTAATTTGCTAATCCGTTTCCTAATTTCTTTATCACATTGTTCACTATTTTATGTTTTCAAACATTTATACATATTTAAAATAATACGTTGACTTGGCATGTGTAAGTTTTTGTTTTTAAACTCCGAGTTTGCTTTGACTATTTGAGGATTTTCCCGGGTTATTTCGCTATCATCCGTTTCAAAGGGTCTCCAGAAAGCCATGCTAAATTACTAGATATAATATTTATTTTAATAACTTACCCTTTACTGGTTACGATATGAACAAATGTTAATATTAACTAATAATTAATAATACGTTTTGTACCAACAATAAATATACCACACCAAGCACTGCTCTCTATAGCACTGACAAAGCCTAGTGAACCGCGTTTGACACTAAACTAATTATAGAATAATCTTGCAAAAAATTATTTACGACTTAGTGAACCAATACAGGTTTGCTTTGATGACAAGCGTGCCGCCGTTGATTCTACATCAGGCAGATTGGTCTACCAATACCGGACTCGCCCAATGGCTATTCGAGTATAAATTACTACACATCATGACTAAAGCATAGGAAAAAATTTCAAGTGAAGTGCAGACAGTCTTGTGCTTCAAGATTCACAGGTTCCAATTGATATCGTAACAACTATATTTCTTTTCGCAAAGGAAGCATCTTGGTGCAATAACTTTGTATTTGTTCATGATCATTGGCATAACTATGATTTTTGCTTGGAGTGGGCCTTAACCAAAAGAATATTATTGAATCATTTTTTTTTCTGGGGTGGGCACCAGTCTCTCAAAAGGTGGGTCCGTGCCCACCTCTGCCCCCCCCCCCCCCTCTAGCCCCGCACCTGTTCATGATAGCAGTGTATGTCTCACAATACAGTAAGTTTTAATTACTACTCGTTTATAAGATATTAAAATTTATAATTTTTTTATTCTTGACATCCTGTATCTCGAAAACAAAGTGTTTCCGGCCCTATGTTTATATATATTTTTTACTTATTTTGATCCAAGGAACACATCTAGGTTTGCCGACTTAATCCTGAAACACCCTGTATAATAATCATCAAATACTACCTAACACTAAAATTTGATAGGGCTGTTCCAGATCAAATACATACTCTGTTTACATAAAAATCAATGTCAATTGAGAGGTGACCCTCTTATTGTAACTATTGTTATTATTCACGCTCAAGAAATGTTTGTGTAAAACTTTATTAATAAAGTCAAAATATATTACATTATTATAAACCAGAAACAAAAAGACCTAAGTAACTTACTAATACTTAATTTATAAAATATTTATCTACACTTTTAAATACAATTATTGATACAATACGAATTATAAAAATTCTAGTAGTACAACTAATTCTACTTCCTAGATGACGGTAACAGTAGTTGTGTCGTAGTCATAGCATCGGGAAACAAAGAGTGATAATTTAAAAGCGGCACATAAGCCGCTGTAATAACACGGCCAGCAAACCAACGTCCATGCAAGGAATTCACTGATGCTACAGCTGTAGCTATTGAGGGACATTTAACATAAACATTCCCCTGTGGAGATCCTTTATCGACATATACATGTAATACACCACCGTGTTTATTACATTCTTCTATAACATCATCTCTTATTTCAATATCCCAATTCTTATTAGACTCCCTAAGACGGGAAAACAATTTTTATTCAATTAAAATTTGTATAAGGAGGTACTTACGTTGCTGGATCAAACATATTGCTTAACATAAAGCACTGTGTAGCTATTGGAGGGGTCGAGTGTGTTTGAACTTGGGGTACTATAGGTTGTCCTGTCGCCATACTTAATGCGTTAGCGGCTGCTTGAGGTACCTGCATGCCTGCACCCTCTGCTAACTTAAACATGAGCTGAAGTCTACCTGTGGCTCCTAAATCGATACCAGATCTGTCAAGTTCGTCAGAATCTAAAATTGAAGGACCCTGTTGTTGTAGGTCCAGTCTTTCCGTTACATTCCCTACTTTCATTGGACGACCAGCAAGCTCAAAACCATTCAATTGTTCTAATGCTTTTTTTGCATCATCACAATTGTGGAACTAGAAGGAAATGGTATATTAACTCTACACCTATACATAAAAATATTTTATAAAATGAAATGAAGCTCGTATTCAGCATAGTTATATTAAATAGAATTGCCAACAAAATCTTTTAACAACCAATTCAACTATTCATTCATATATTAGTCATGACTAATAACTAATACTAATAATTTATCATGTATCATCAAGGATTGATATTACTACTATTGTAGAGTTACCAAATATCCAGATTTGCCCGAACATGTCCAGGTTTTTATTTTTTATACACATATCTTGAACTGGCATTTTGACATTTTTAATATTCAACAGGATTGTTTTCCGTTTCATTTATGTAGCTAAGGCCCTTCTAGTTTGCCTCATACGGCATTTTATTTCAGTATTAGGGAATCACCCATTGTTTTTTGTATTGCTAGTTGTCACATATTATTCAGTAATATAAATTTTTATGAGAATATTTCACACAATACATTATGTCTAAACGTAAGTGCATACATTCGGATTAAATGTTTGATTATACCCTTATTTATGAAACGAATGCAATGCTTCTATTTTAATAGCTGATAGAGGTAAACTTAGTATTGAAGCTTATATAAAAAAAAGACAAACAACAAAATATTAAAAACTCAAGCACTTTTCTGAGATTTTGTCATACATTTATCTACACAAAATAAGTAAAAGTAACTGAAGCAATATGGCTATCCATATAGTCATCATCAATCTTACAAAACTATAAACAGCACCATGCAGGTAAAACTTTTATTTATTAACTTATTTATCTCTATCTTAAAATTTAATATTATTAACTTTATTTCAGACAAAATGTAACCCATAGACACACCATGGCTGAAACTATAGTTAACAATGCATTAAACTAGACACACATAAACCAATAGGTTTATTTCAGGGAACACGTAGCATTCTTTTATAGTAGTTACCACTGATGTGAGGTACCATAATGTAGTTTAAATGGTCATAGTTGCAATTCCATTCTTTTTTGTGTGCGAGATTTTAAGTAAATGCCATTAAAACCATCTAGAGCGAGATTTATGAACATTTTGCTTTACATGTCTTGAAAAATATCAGGAAGTGTGGTTGGAAACGGAACGTAATTATTTTATCATTATTTACTAAAAAACGTGTTGAAATCGTCGATTCTATTTTTTTTTACTAGTTCTGTAATAAAATATACATATCAGAAAATTTCGACAGCAATAACCACAATTCCCCCACTTACGGACAAAATATTTTAAGGTGTAAGTTTCTGAAGATTTTTTTTTAGATTATTAAAAAGCAGCTGAATATCTTGCAGTATACTCTCGATGTCAATTTTCAACAAACATTTTCACTCTTAGATTCTACAATTATTAATGACATCTCATAATTTGAAAAATACAAATTGCTCACAATTTTACAATATTTTTTCCCCAGAATAAATAAATTCTAAATAAATAATAAAATTCAATCAAATGAAAAATGTGCTTTGTAGATTTTCAACATGTTGATACTTTTCTTACATGTACCACGTGTTTTGTATTCTACTGTAACTATTTTAGTAAAATTTATTATACATTTTTTTGTTGCCGATTTTATTTTATGATGCTTGTTACCCTTTTTTTTAATATGTTATTTCTAAAACATTTATAATTAAGTATTCTATTTCCAGCAGTAAAATAAATCTACAAATCACTTATGAGTTTTTGTAAAAAGTAAAATCTTGCTGTTATTGCTATAAAATACACTGGAAATAGCACCTATCAAAAAAATATGTTTGGATTATTTAACACACTTGTCCTAACATGATAAATATTGATTTTATAACCCTTACAATCCTGTTTACATCGCAACTAGGCAATTATCCATCCAGGACTAATGACTAATCTATTAGCTGTTAGTCATAAATAATACATAGTAATAATATAATAATAACAATCAAGCATTGAAATGGGGTAGATATAGATAATTTTTTAATAAAAAAAATAGACTTTAAAATTTTTATGCAAGTAATTTTTATTTAAATAAAAATTCTAAGTAGAAAATCGTTTTGACTAAATTTTTATCATTATAGAAAATGTGTATTTTTTTAAACAGTACGCAGAAGAATTATTAATTTTTTAACCAACAGGAAAGTGGCATCACAGAAATTTTTTGTTTTGAATTGTTCTTGAAGGGTCCTAATAGTAATCCAGCAGTTATATGTACAGTAGAGATGGGCAATACAGATCTTTTTAATGATCCGCATGATACGAAGTGTATCAACATAAAGATCCGCATCAAAAGAACCGCATCATGGAATCGTACTCAGTGCGGATGTACAAGTACAGTTAAGTAAGTACATTTAAATACGAAATACACATAATTCTGACAATTAGTTTGTACATTATAAGTTTGTTTCAGACTCCACTGTTCGGCAATTTCATATAATCATTTCAATATTTAGTTCCCCGTGCACTAAACTGTTTCTAATGCCTGATATCCTCAGAGGAATATTTACTTATTCGTTTAAAAAATTTTTTATATCTAGTTTAATTTTATTTAATTGTGCACAATTGCACAACATGCAACAAAAACACATTTTTTACTAATAAATTAAATTTCTAGCACTGTAACAGAATTTCAACGTAAAAACAGACTGTTTCTTCAGGTAACCTTCTTGTATATTTACAAGCTGGCCTCTATCACTTTTACATATGTTTGTGAACGCCAGGCACATTTGATACATGGGTACATTGTGATTGTGGGTTATTCGCAAGCACCATTTCTTAATGGTCGCTTTGATCATTTTATAGATAGTATATTCTATAACCGTTAAATGTGATAGAACTTTATTAAAACAAAAAGTATCCATCCATATATTTATTATATACTGATTATTTGTAACCTTTTATAGAAACAATACAAATGCCTCTACCTAAAGATAAATCTGATCTTTCAAAAGTAGGTCAACTCATTCAATGCATTTTTTAGATGAACTATAGCAATAAGTTATGGAAACAAATCTCTACAGGGTGGGCCACCAGTAACGCCTCGGTCGCTAGGGACCGAACGGCAAATGTTACAGAAACCTGTATAGGTGGGTATGTGTAGGTTGATTACGGCTACATTTTAAAAATATTTTGAAATATACAGGGTGTCCAGGAAAAGCGTACCATATCAAAGTTATGTTTTTTAATGGAACACCCTGTAGTTTACTGTATTTTTGAAAGAACCGTAAAAAAATAGGTGAACTTTATTAAAAGTTATGCATACCTAGGACTTACAGTTTGTGAGATATTTAAATTTTAGTGAAAATGCAGGCATAGCGTAGAAATTTAATAAACAATATAGTCCATTGAAAAGTTACATTTGGGGTTGCAAAAGTCAGAGCACGCAATTTTATTTTTTGGATGTCAAGAGGTGGTTAGTGTAAAGTTAAATCCATGTTTGTGGGGTCGCAACCCTTGAGCGTCGGCCGCCATCTTGTAAAAAGTGCTGCGAATGGTTTTTATACTACTACTTACTATATCGGGCAAACTATTCCTCGCACAGAAAATTTGTAAACACATTTCTTGTTGCAAATTAAATTCTCTACAAACTTGGTTCCGTAACTTTTAGTCGTAGAACCAAAAATAACAAAGTTATTAACGAAAATATATAAAAATTTGGGAAGAAATTTTCTTTTGGTCGTTATAACTTTTTTTCTGGTCATTTTACAAAAAAATTACATCAGAGCATTTTGATAGAGGGGTTTTCAAGGAATAATTTCCATTACAAACTTTTTTCAAATTTTATTTATTTATTAGGGTTTTACAGCGATGCGAAACTTACACTATTCTCCAGTACTAGTAAGTATACATTAATATGAATGATTAGGCATAGGAGGCGTCCTTCAAAGTTTTCTTGATAATGAGAAGAACAAGGCTAAGTTCATTGAACTTCTCAAAACTTCATTGTCGGAGGTGGGTTTCAGTGTCGACTAAGCAGAATCAGATGCAGATACCCTCATCGTTCGCTCCGCTCTTGCTGCATCCCAATCGTTCGACTCAGTCACTATTGTCGCCGAAGATATCGACATTCTTGTCTTGCTCGCGGCATTTGGAAGAACACATTCAAATATATATTTTTTTAAACCATCGAAAGGACGTACAGCCGAACAATTATATTGTCCGTCAAGTTTTATGTACGGAGAAGTCATTGCGGATAATCTGTTGTTTCTCCATGCCTTCTCAGGATGTGACACAACTTCAGCAGCTTACAACATCGGTAAAATGAAATTTCTCGCAACACTGGAGACACGTCCTGAGTTAGCTAGTGGAACAGCGTTATTCCTCAATGAGAGAGTCGACCCTACTTTGCTCACTGCTGTTGGCGAACGTTTTTTCATCTCTTTATATGGTGGCAATAAAGATGATGATTCTCTGGACAGTCTTAGATATAAACGATTCGCCAAGTCAGTGACAAAGAATACATTTAATTTGTCTTCACTTCCTCCAACACAAGACACAGCCCGCTTGCACAGCCTCCGAGTCTATCATCAGGTCCAGTCGTGGCTCGGGAATTACAACGACCCTCAAGACTGGGGCTGGAAAAAGTATGGACAAATATTGATGCCTATTCAAAGTTCAAAACCTCCAGCACCCCCTGAGCTTCTAAAGTTGATATTCTGCCGATGCAAAGGAAACTGTGGAGCAATGTGTGGATGTCGGAAGGCAGGCCTCAAATGTTCTGCAGTATGCCTGAATTGTTCTGGGGAGACATGCAGCAACATAATGGAGATATCAAAATTGATCGAGGAAAATGATTTTGAAGATGAACTGCCAACAATGACGCCACTTCATTCTCCATCCTTTCTCAACAATTCAATATCAGAAGCTCCACCAGATCCTGAGTCGCAACCTGGCACATCAAAGAGACTGAGGACACAGTAGATTGGGAAATACATACTAGGGATACGACGTAAAAAAAACGTGCCACCAGACTCTACTCCGTAGAGGGTGGGGAAAAGAGTCAATAACTAATTAACAACATTGCAATATAAATCATTAAAATGTTTCTTATAAAAATAATGGAAAGATGAGAGAAAACTATGCCTAATCAATCATATTAATATATACTTACTAGCACTGGAGAATAGTGTAAGTTTCGCATCGCTGTAAAACCCTAATTAATAAATAAAATTTGAAAAAAGTTTGTAATGGAAATTATTCCTTGAAAATCCCTCTATCAAAATGCTCTGATGTAATTTTTTTGTAAAATGACCAGAAAAAAATTATAACGACCAAAAGAAAATTTCTTCCCAAATTTTTATATATTTTCGTTAATAACTTTGTTATTTTTGGTTCTACGACTAAAAGTTACGGAACCAAATTTGTAGAGAATTTAATTTGCAACAAGACATGTGTTTACAAATTTTCTGTGCGAGGAATAGTTTGCCCGATATAGTAAGTAGTAGTATAAAAACCATTCGCAGCCCTTTTTACAAGATGGCGGCCGACGCTCAAGGGTTGCGGCCCCACAAACATGGATTTAACTTTACACTAACCCCCTCTTGACATACAAAAAATAAAATTGCGTGCTCTGACTTTTGCACGCTAAGCCCAAAAAAATGTAACATTTCAATGGACTAATAAAAAAATTTTAAATTTCCTAACTGCCAAAGTAAAAATATACTGGGTGTCCCATTTAAAATAACCAAGTTATTGCTGTTTAAAGTTGAGAAAGTATTCAGCAGTTTTTTGAACACCCTGTATAATACTAAATGACGACAAATATAACAATTTATAACTTAAGGATCTAAAATAGACCCTCCAAAGCTGCTTCCTTAAAATAATTTTTTATTGCTAATATTAAATTTCTATGCTATGCCTGCATTTTCACTAAAATTGAAATATCTCGCAAACTGTAAGTCCTAGGTATGGAAAACCTTTAATAAAGTTGAACTATTTTTTTACAATGCTTTCAAAATTGCAGTAAAATACAGGGTGTTTCTTTTAAAAATACATAACTTTGATATGTACGCTTTTCCTGGACACCCTGTATATTTCAAAATATTTTTAAAATGTAATGGTAATCAACCTACACATACCCACCTAAAGAGGTTTCTGTAACATTTGCCGTTTGGTCCCTAGTGACCGAGACGTTACTGGTGACCCACCCTGTATATTAATTTTTTGTTTGTTCAAAATGTATATTTACTTACTGTTATAAACCCGTATCCTTTAGACCTTCCGGTTTCAGGATCCATTATTAGTTGAATATTGTCTATTTTACCGAAAGGTTCAAATATTCCTCTCAACATATCTTCTGTTATGTTGAAATGTAATGATCCTACGTATAACCTCATAGGCCCAGTCATACCTTTCGGCATAAGATTTGGCATAGAATTTCCCATTCTATTCTTTTCGGCCTGGGTATGCTGAACTATTATTGGTACTCCTAGCAGTTTCTGTCCAGATAAACCAAGTGCCTGCAAAGAAAACACCATTATAAAATGTTTACATCAATACTTATAGCTTTACTCACCAATGCTACACTTTCTGGATCTTTAAACTCAATATAGGCAATGCCCTTAAAGCGCCTGGTCTTATTACATACTATCATTCTAACATCTCGCACTTTACCAACAGAACTGAAGAATTCTTCCAGATCTCTTGAACGTATCCTCTGGGACAGCTGCATAACAAAAACAGTTCGAGCATCCCTCTCTTCAGGACTCAATTCTTCTAAAGGTGAGGTACCTCGTAAACCTAATGGAGATCGTGGCCTTCTTGGAAAAGGGGGCTTGGTTATAGGAGAAGGTGACCGCTTCTTCACCACAGGGCTCTTTTTATCCCTGCTGCGACTCCTTCTATCACGCCGCCTTCTATCTTTTGATTTACTCCTTTTGTCTCTTGAACGTGATCGTTTATCTCTTGGTTTACTTGGAGAACGACGATCCCTAGATCTTGCATTATGGTGATCTCGGGCACGTTTTTTATCAGGAGTACGACTTCTTCTTCTGTCTCTACTGTTACGGCGCTTATCCCTTGATCTACTTCTCCGATTTCGACTGGCACTTCTCCGGCTCCTGCTCGTACTCCTCCGTGTCTTGCTAGAACTCCTTCGACTCCTGCTGGTGCTGCGCCGGATTCGACTGGAACTCCTGCGTTTTTTGCTACAAACATAAAGTTATGTAAACAAATTTGCATTTTACTTAATCATTCTAAATACTTACTCTGAAGAGCGATGTTTGCTGACTTCCCCATTCTCTTTAGACCTTCCATTAATCTCATCCTATGAACAGCACAAAGTGAAGAGGACCCGCAGGTGGGGAAAAACAGACAGCATTAATAAAATTTGAAAAATAAAACACAAACCTACCAGTTGTTACAAGAAATAAGCACTTTGTGCTGATTTACAATCTTGCCTTAAACATTAAATAGAATAAACGGTTTTGACTACTAAACCAGCTTCTAGACATGATTGTAAATGTACAAAAAATATAATATGATAAAATCATTGTTTGGTGATTGGTTGTGGATTTTTGCAGGGCTATTTGCTGAAACAACGAGAGCCGTCTAGCCGGAACTAGACTTACCGTCTTGTCGACTTAACAAAGGAACGATGTGGAAAAACTTGATCCAGATCATAACTTCTGAAAAAATACACCGAATAAGACCACATCTTTCTAGAGAGAATTTTATGAATCACTTATTCAATTCTGATTGTCAATTTTGGAAACAAATTGGGGTTTTGGCTAAATCTTTACATAATGAATAAAAATGTTGAGCTACAAGGTTTTTACAACGAAGTAGATATAATTCATCCATTTTGAATGGTTGATAAATGTTAACAAAAACTAAAATGCATTCATAATATCTAACCGAATGTGTATGGTAAACTAATAGACAAAATTTACTTAATGTATCATAAATGTATACTTTTATAACATGTTGCGAATTATTCATTTAATATCATATTTTGCATTTTCCTATAGAAAGCTGAATTAACATATTTAAAATAATATAGAATATAAGCATGAGATTATACTTTAAAGATGACACACCAATAGTCTAAATATTTTTATGGGATCTAAGAAAACCAGATGAAAGAATTCTTGAAATGTGAAGAATGATATCAAATGCTATTGGTTGCACTGGCGACATCATGTAAACTTTGATCAGTAATGTAATGAATGATCAGGACTAACTAGTCCTCTGTTGTCGAATCCTTTAGCCTCGTTTTCTTAGTTGTTTAAAATCCTATCTTAAAACATACACATTCCTCTTCTTTTCTATAATTTATTTATTAACCTTGTAGTATATAGTACATAAATAAGAATTTGCAATGTGTATCCTACACAGAATACTATGAAAACTTGTTTCTCGGTACATCTAAACAAACTTTTTTTTACCTAAATCATACAAATCTCTTTAAAACTATTTTTCATATAAGATAATAAAAATTTCATTAGAAAATTAATTAATGTAACAAATTTGAAAGTAATCTTCGAAATCTACATTTTGTTAGGTAGTAGCTTTTATGTAAGATATTGGTGAACATTTTATTATTTACATTAAAATTTTGATATCAAAAAATATAAAAAGTAGCAGATGAAAATGTTACTTTACCTGCACAAAAAATATTTTCATGATGGGACCTATTTAAATGAAACGGTTTAACTATTTATCTTTCTTAACTGGCACCGTCTCTTATTGAATTGTAAGGATAAAATTAGCTACAATATTTTTAATTATTTGTCAGTAAAGAACACCCGGTATAGTGTATCCATTTTTTTGAAAAAATTCTTCAGGACTTTTTCTAGTGTTGAAATTTCATCTTTACATTTTTTATATAGAATCCAGTGGCATAGTTAATTTTTTAATAGCTACTGGTTTTGAACTTATGTCAGCTACATTTTTGTTTCAATAGAATCATAGATGCATGTGTCCTAGTTAAATAATTTATACTGCATTTTTCGGAAATATACTTAGTCATATTTATCTCGGAAAACAAAAATTTGCTCCACCAACTATGTGAAATATACACAACAATGGTAACAGATTTTGTTTAATAGTGCATTTCTTTTTGGTCATGGGTTAATTCCAATCTTTTTTAGTTTAGAAAAAATATATACATGTATATTGAGATGTATGATAGACTATATATTTTTGGAAAACTCAAAACACCCTCTCTCTAACTAGGGCTATTGCCCACTACGGTTTCCATAAAAAAAAAGAAAATTTTTTACTATAACCTAGACTAAAAAACATTGAAAATCTGTTTTCATCTGAAGATTTCTATTAAACAAGTGGTCAACATTTACAAAAATGGAAAGATTCTATCTTCAATAATAACCAAGATACCCTACCACTTTTGAACGTAGAATTTTTAATAAGAATGACGTTTTCCCTCGTTTCCAGAATTTGTATTTCATCAGTTTGACATCTACCTAGTGATTTTTAATACCTCACAAAAAATGAATAGTATAAAAATTTCAACAGAAAGTTTAATTTCTGTTTTAAGCATTAACCAGAAGCCTTGGTCAGTTATCCTTCAGGTTGCGGTTATCCTATCTACAGAGATGAAACTTTCACATTAGTATGTAATGTACTGATAAATATACTTTTATTAATTACTAGATGACTATACATTACTGAATTGCAAATATCCCAGATTCAGACAAAAAATATATCAATTACAAAACTGCACCTGCAAGGAAGTGTGTAAGCCCCATATTTTCATAAAATAAATCATATCCCCAAATTAAACTTTGTTTCGACAACACTTATTAAAATCAATAAACTTTTAAAGACTTTTTCAAATAATTCAGAAATAAGGAAGATCTAACAAAGAACACAATGACATACATCATGTAAGTAATATTTTCTTGTCTATTAATTGCATCATGGTCATGGTTTCCCATGCCTCATCGTGATTATTGTATTAATTTGATACTAGCCCTTTTCTTTTATTTATGATTTCGGAATCATAACGCATTACGATCCGTAATCTAGCAACCTGATTGGTTTCCATTGGAGAAATCATAAATAAAAGAAGAGCTATTGCATCAAAAATTAAAATGGTTATTTTAATCTATGACGTGACAGCTTGCAGCAACTTCTTCAAATTAGAGAGAGCTGTTTTATTAGAAAAATATTGTTTGAACGCTATCAGATAAGTTAAATTCTGATATTTATTGATTTACATTATTATTTATTACATATAATACATTTATTACCCATTTAAAACAGTTTAAGTAACGAACTGCCTCTTTTTAAGGCATGTTTTCTTAGATATAACGAGGTTGCCGACTGTCTAGCATCTGTAAAACTGTGGGCAATATCAATAACAATTAGATCAAACCTCTTGTCCTGTATATCTAATGATATCATCTTAAAAAAAACAACAAAACCTAAAAATCACTAATCCATTTTACCACCAGGAGCAGATAACTACTATTGGAACAAGAGCCACAGTGCGCATTAAAATTTAATTAAATAATTAACCTAAAAATCTATTTTAAATGCCTAAGTAACAAATTTTGTATTCATTTCAGGATTTATGATTTAAAATAAACAATGCAAATTCTGTGATAAAGCCAAAGCCCCATAAAACTGATATTAAAACCTAACTGTTTTAAAAAAATCAAGTACTTTATTCTTTACATTCCAAAAGTCCACCTCATGAAAAATTTGTGCAGTGACTGACCAATCGGTTGATTGGCAAAGGGCAGGGACGTTGCAATGGGATGTCCATTTTCACAGCAACCCTATGGCGAGAAAGTACCCATCAGCGAACGTATAATTTAAAATCTCAGTATAATAATGCCGTAAAATCGCTAACATAATTAAAATTAACAATACAATAATTTACTTGATTGAACAAAAATATTTACTATTATGACACCTTAATTAATTAATATTAAAACTTATACTAAGGTGATCTGTACCTGTATTTTGAAGGAGCCGATAGCCCGAAATATACCTCATAAGTCTAAAATATAAAATTAGGTTGTGATGTAGAAGAGTCATAATAAAAGATGTATATACAAAAACTGCACTGAATACATTAAGAATTACAATTATAGATACATATTAATTACATATAATGATTTGGGGTTATTCTCAAAGCATTCAGAGCAACTTTTCGTAAACGACAAATATTTGGCAATGCAAATGGCGACATTCGTATTTGTTTTTATACAAAATATAAAACTTCAATACGTTATGCAATTTGCATTACTGCTGAAATAATCTCCTCATATTTTAAAACAATAAATATTATTTTCTTAACGATAACAATACACTTACGTCCTTCTTATAAGGTGCTTCTAGCATTGCCTCGACATCCAAATCCTCAGCCATGTTGCTCCTGCAAATATTTTTGATATTATATTTGATATCACAGCACAAAGTCCGTAAATATTTTACCTTTCGTAGCAAAATGGTTTTATTTCAGGAATAAATTCACTGAACTTTGTTTTTTATTCTTCAGTAGTCAGTACCGACAAATAAAAATACAATCGATATTACACAAGTAACATCAAATATGGCCGAACTTTATCTTATTTCTTATTTCTATTTATATTTATGAGCCGATGACATTATATATTCTAGAATAAAAGGTGTACCAACATAAAATAAAATAAAATAAAGTCCCTAGATTGATATAAAGATAGATAGCCCAGCGGTATTCATAGTATGCGCCGCGAAACCCAGGGTTCCCTACGCGCGCCCATCGGGGACTTCAACGCGAAGTCCCCCATATGGCACAGCGGGACGACGACCACAAGAGGACACAGACATGACTTAAACGTACTTAACAGACG